GAGAAGCAAGCTGTGATGCACAAGATGACATTTCCATTCTCTTTGCATGGTAAAACACACCATGCTCAGAAGTGCAGTGCAGTTGTACTTTCCATACCGTGAAGCGGGGTGGGGGTGGTTTGTTCAGTGTCCACAAGCTGCTCAGTACCAGATGAAAACATTTCCTTTAATGTACAGCAAAATGTGAGACTGAGAGGAGAACTACCAACTTTGAAGGAGGAAGACCAGTGTATTTAATTCTTACTTGTGGAATGTCAAAACAGCATCAATAAACATAATTTAATGTTGCTTACATGCAGGTCTACGCAATATCATGGCGATGTTTTTTCTCACTAGACTGTCATAAGTACCACTGCACTACGTGCAATTTCAATATTCAATATTCAATAATCAAATAACGTTCAACAGTTAATCACAGCACAACTCAGCAGCATGGATGCTGACTGCTGCTTAACTGAACACTGATATGGCAACACTACAGAACCTGTGAAGCAAAGGAATGCTAGAGGGGACAGGAATGAAGGAAGGGCTGCCTGCTGGATGCCCGGTCAGCTAGGCTGCAATGAGTTCCCAGGGAAAATGAGGGAAAAAATAAAAGCAGTTTCTGGATGCAAGGCATTTCAGGTCAAAAGCAATCCCTGAACCAAACTCTTTTATCTTCTACATAAAGCATTTTCTATGGCAGAGAACAAAGTCTAAGCTCTCCACAATGCGAGACCTGCTCAGAGAGGGCTGATACCCTTCTTCCATTCAATGTCTCTCCTCAGGATTCTACTTTAGCCCCACAAAATTGCCTCCTAGTAAGCACTGTTTTTGCAATTAATTTAATTTTCTACTGGAATTCTGAAGGAAAAAACAATCTCAAAACCAAACCCCAAGGACATTCCACACATGCTGTTTGAAAAACAAACATGGTGTAATCATAGCCACAGGATGGCTTAAGTTGGAAGGGACCTTAAAGATCATCTGGTTCCAAACCCCCTACCAAGTAACATACAACTGCACTCCAACATGCTCAACTTTCTGGCTGTTTGTTCACTTTTGGTAGACACTCAGTGCATCTGAAGCATACATTTCACACCAGCTCTTCAGCTCCAGCAGCCACAGCAATCAGTGCTGCTGCTGTCAAGGGAAGGTAGCAAAATCTTTAAGGATGGAGCCTTACGGCAGCACTCAACCCACAAGTGCTCATTTCATTGACTTTTGACCACCAGAAGATCTAAATTGAGAAAATATTTAGGCAAAAGCTTCACTGCTGACAATGAGCCGCTACGAGGCTCTAGGTATGTCAGTGGCTTCTGAAGAAAGAAGTGCAATTTTGAGTTACAAGGGAAGAAGAAACATGATCAGGAAGAGGAAGAGGAAACAGTCCTTTACATTCAAATTTTCTTAAGATAGAAGAACAGATGGTGACTAGCAACTGGTTAAATCATGTTCTGATCTCTTGTTTGGGAAATGTTGATTACAGAAGTTGCTTTAGCTTAAGTTAAATAGTTTTTAAAACTGTACTGCAAAATTCTAAGTGTCTTTGTATTGGTTTAGAAAGAATATACTTTTTTCTTTTTCTTTTTTTTTTTTTTTTTTTTTTTTTAACTTTTACACTTTTTTACACTATTACTCTTTTCACAAGCAACATGTGCTGAACTGAAATAAATCAACAAATATCAAAAGAAAATTCTCTAAAAGTTTGTGTTTATACCAATTTAACTATGCCAAAGCAGAGACATTTAGGCAGACAAGATCCCCAGTGTAGGAAGAGGCAACGCAACACCCCAGTATCCAGATCCCTGCATAACAACTTTTACACAGCATGCAGGAGACCACTGTATAATTTACAGAAGAAAAAGGAGTTAAGTCCTATTAGAACAAAGGTTTGGGTAAACTGGAAGAGACAGCATAATGAAACCTTTTATGTATTCACAGACACGAGTCGCAAAATGTGACCTTACTACTTTGACATCAAGTGTTAAAAATGTTCCTATTGTACAGTGAAACATACAGCATCTGTTCTTCATTTACAAGGATTGTCTATTTCTTTTATTTCACCAAAACATTAGCTCTTTAAAATAACTCTGGTGAAAGGGATACAGAAAACAGGAAAACTGAAATATTGGCTTGGTTTTGAATTCATAGCCATGCTGACTAGTTTGTTGTCATTTTATGGATAACTAGAATAGCTCTACTATATACAAATTATGTAACCTTTAGGAGCATCTTGCTCAGTGCAGTCACGAGCAATATGATGTGCTTACTACTTACCCCAAGTGAGATCAAAACATTTGATAACAACATTATAAACATTTTGAAATAACAAATAATCACAGAATGTATCCTAGGATCGGAGGAAAAGCTTGGTGTAAGAAGTGAAACAGTACTTTTTCCACAGGAAATAGTTAACAAGTTGTAATGACTTTCTCTCCGTTTCATTTCTGCAATTTATTTAGAAAGGCAATTTGTTGTGTTTGCTGCTAATGCCAAAGGCTCATGCTCTCCACTCGTCTCCTTCTTCTCCTCATGAGAACCTGAGATGTATGACCTGGATGTGATTTTTCATTTCACTTTTAATGATAACAAAACAAATTAGCAGCTTTCTAAAAACTATCAGCCAGGGATTTATTAGACAGTACCTGCCTCTGTAATGGCCTAGGATGAGCAGTTCAGATCCTGGGAAAGAAATACTATTTACATACCAAGCAAATAGCAGCCTGCTGCAAAACAAGAGAGAACTTTTCAGGTAGCGAAAAGAAAACACAAGCTAACTTTTGCCTTATGAGTAGCTCAAAAGACACACATCACAGTATTCAGGCCACCTGGGGACAGACTGCAGTAGATGGATGTGTAACTGCTCACGCTTGCATTTGATACGTTAAGCTCACCACAGGCAGGAGTTACATGAAGAAAACTTCCTTCTCTGCAACTCTACTCCTCTGAAGCCATCTACATGACAGCTCCTGTTCCCAAAGCTCATCTGCTCAGTTGAGTGCTGACTGATCTCCCTGAGCTGCACAGTGCTATCCTTTAAGCTCATTAATCATAAGCTAGGAGCACCACCAGGGCTGTTGGCCAAAGCCAACAAATAGTACCAGCTCTCTACTTTGTGTGCTAGGGATATTTAAAATAATCACTACACTTTTCTGATTAAATATTCACTTCCAGATTAAATCTGCTACCTGTAGTTTATTTAAAAACTTTTTCCCTCCCCTTCCCTCAAAAACGAATAGGAAGAAGTGCTTGGAAAAACATACGTTATTATAAAAATGACAACAGATGATGGACAGGACTTTGAGCAAGGTTTAAAGCTTGTTAGAGAGTTAATATAGCCAGGGAAGAGTCAATGTGCAAAACCAAGAAATTCCACACTGAGTATATACATGTTCTTTCATGGGCTTATCATTCAGAAAAATATTTTGGAGAGAAAGAAAGTGAAAAGCAAGAAAGGTCATGGTTATAAATTTTGGGGGTTAGTTAAAAAAAAAAAGTCACACTGAAAACAGGAATTATAAGGACAAGAAATGTTCCCTTAATTAAATAATAAAAAACTTTGAAAATCGATTTTTTTTTCATGATGGTGCCATCCATATCTACCCTACTCAGTGTTATGTGAGGCTGGTTAAGCAAATCCTACCTACATGACAGTTGACACAGCGGATAAAAATAAATGTAAAAGGAAAATACTACTGTAAGCTATCTAACACTTCATGCTCTGCAATGTAAATGAGCACAGACCAAATTATATCTACTGAGGGAGGCAACAGGCAGTGCATAAATGCAAACAACCTTCATTAGACACATTGTCATGAGTATATTAATCATGTCAAGAAGCATTGCTGGAGTTTCCTTCAGCACAATTTAACATACCTTACTTTATTAGGACGCACTTAATTTCACCGTGTTTTCTCCTCATTATCATTTATGATGACCAATTAAAATGTTTGTATCTGCCTCTAGGCAAATTACTTCTGTAATTTCGGTAGCTGAAATCACCACTCATCCAACACTTGTCATCTACTTCCATCAGTGTAGTATCTTCATATCTTTATTTGCCCAGCCTATATTAGCATTTTAAAAAGAAAAAGCTTACTTGGATATTTACATGTAAAATCAGAATAGATTTTTTTTTTGTTTCTTCTTTTTTTTTTTTTTTACAGTGGAGACAGTAAAGAGTGGATATTTCTTTTTCCTCAGTTGCCCTCTGTCACAGTTTTCATGATTCTTCCTTGAAATGATGACCATAATTCATAGTTAAAGAAAAGAATCATAGAATGTTTTTGGTTGGCAGGGACCTGAAACATCATCTAGTTCCAACCTCCTACCATGGGCAAGGCTGCAGACATCTAGATCAAGAGGATGCCCTGTATGCTTCTCACAATGGGCTCAAAGTTACATGCAGTTTAAATTTCATTTCCTTTGTTGAAAAGATGCGATAATTTCAAGTACATGGCAGTTTTACTTCCTTTTTTCCTCCCAATGCTCCTACCACAGTCAAGAGCTTTTTGAACAATAACAGGATGTGGCACCCCGTCTATCATGTTTCCAACATTCATAAATAAGATCAAACTACTTTTCATATCGTAGCAAACAAATACGAGGGTGTGATTTCTTCTCAACCTCCCACAACAAAACTGCGAGCAGTTCATCTGTTATTCCTCAGTTTCACGAGTATTAAGGTAAGATTAAGATACCTGAAATGTCAGCAGGAAATTCTGGTTGCACACAACACCTTCGCGGTGGCACTCACTGCGACCAGAGATGGCAGAGCAATGCCTCTGATCACCGAGCCGCTTGTGGACTCCTTCTGAGGATTACTTAGGCTCCTAGAATTAAAGATATATGGCCAGCTCCTCAAAAGGTGCTGGGTGTCAACTTCAAAGCAATGAATTTGGTTTATTTTCAAAAGAACATTATGCATTCTTATTTTTGTAACGTTACTTCGACATTAGAGTAATAACTTCCAAATAAATGCTGATAAGTGTAATGATAAATAAGTTCAAAGACGCTGCTGCCTTTTGGAACAATTATAATTTCATTAAAATAGGAACATAACTTAAAGATAGATTTTATTCTCTTTGATGATTTACTCATGCAAACTGCACATTAAAGAAAACAGTACAGTTTGTGAACATGTCAAATGTAAAGACCAAAAATGCTAAGTACAGAATTAGTGTGACATACGCCTCCAAACAGAATCCATGGTAGTACAGCTAATTACTGTTTTCTATTTGCTGAATACAGATTTTAATGGTTCTTTTTCCAGCCCCACTGTTAAACTCATTAACTGTTTACACGTCTCCTATACACTTATCAAGACTTACTTTTACAAGCGTGACAGCTGTTATAAAAAAACTTCACTTATATAAATATGATTTAAAAAGCCTTTGTGTTTAGGAGAGCAAATTATAGCACAATCAATAAGGCCTTGCCTCGTCCACCAAAACTACAGTGAAAAGTGACTGTATAGCTTTCCTGCAGAATTCACATTTTGTGCCTTTGCAATCCATTTCCTTCTCACAAAATGTCCATTATAGGTTACCATCCCGGAAATGATCAATAACTTACTGTTTATTCCTGAAACTGGGAAAGTAAGACTTCTAAACGCATGAGGGTATCAACTCAACTTCCTCAGTTTACAATACAAAATATTTAGAATCCTTGTTATTTGCATGCTTAAAGCCCTGCAATGATAGATATATGACCTAGATACCTCTTTGTCCAGTTTCGTGGTAGTACGGTTGTATATATACTGTAGAAATCATGATTTTCCTGTGGATCAATCACATTTTTTAGAATTTAAACTGAATCAAATAGAAATCTGATGGCACTGACACTTAAAAACACGTAGTATAGTGTGGAGAAGGAAGAGCAAATGAACTACACAACCCATTATAAATGCATTAAATCTTTGTTATATACATAATGGAATCCTGCTTTACTGCCAGTTGCTACTATGCATCTGTTTTTGCTATTATACAAAGTTTTCCCACCTGAAAGCACACATCTATATTTTTTTTAAACAACTTAATCTATTGTAAAATATTGTACTGTATTTTGAACATGAATACAGAATCAAAATAGATAATGGCACATTTAAAAAACTCAATATCCTACAGATGATTGGATAATGAGAAAAAGTGTACCTACAATCATTTCATCAGAAACAAACTACATCATGGAATGTTAGTTATCCAAGTTTGCACAGTAAATAACATTTTAAAACTGCAATCACCTATCAGCCAGCATCACATTGAAGGCATCTTTAAACATTCAAGCAAAAGACTGCTGGCATTAACTACTGAACCATTCTCACGCACACGCCACACACACCACATTATAATTACATTGTTTCCAAGATACGGTAGATACTGATTTTTTTTTTTTTCCACAAGAAAGGTATCAAAATTTTTGCTACTAAAAGATGACAGTGCTTACACAAGAATTAAGTACAAGTTAGCTTGCAAATACAAGACAATGACAAAAAAAAGTCTTGAGTTGTCTGAAGGATTTTAGGCTTTTCAGGCATCCAAAACCATGAGTAAACTCTGTCTGCGACTCAAAAATCCACCAAATATCATCTTACTTTGGAATACTAAGTTCCATACTTGATAACCCCGTACTTTACAATATGCTTACTGGTTTCAGCCAAACAACAAAGGGTAGTTACAGATACCTATGCTTACTGAAGAAATAAAGCTCTCCTCCCCTCATAATGAAAGTGTTGGAGAGGGGAAAAAAAAAACAACAAAAAAACACCTGACAAATTTTAAAAAAAAAATCTATTTAGTTACGATCCTCATTTAGGACAGGTATGTGCATAAGAGTACTGTATTTCATATACTGTACTGGCCCTATTAAACAAATCAAAAACCCAACGGTTAAAAAGCCAACCAAAATGCTATACATAAAATAACCCAAACATTTTTCTCCCAATGTTCTTCCTCTCATAATGTGCAAAACAACAAAAAGGCAAAAAGACTAAAAGCAAATTTACTGTTACTGTCTTTCTCTTGCCTAGTGCTTTATGACCTTGCTCGTGTTACAAAGTCAATAGGGACTATGCAGAACTTTGGTATAAAATGTCACATAATATTACTATCACAGTCTGGGGGATGAACTTTAGTAACTCACCCCAATGTTTGTTGAAATAATACCAAATTAAAAATGAAATAAACCACGTTGTACTGTACATACACTTTACACATTAAGCACAAAAATAACTAGTAAACCTAACACTTAAGAGAAAAAAAGTCTTTTACAAAGAGACTTGTAACTGGTGTTCTGTCTCACCTTTACCCGCCAATCGTTAAAGCCAAATTTAGGTTTGAATTTTAAAACCGAGTAATTTTAAGCTACAATTTCTCCTAGCTGGAGACTGGTCTTTCATCGATTTCCCTTTAAAGTCACAAACGAATACCTAAGAAAAGGATGCAACCAAGTTCCTAATCAACTCCCCGAGGGCTGCGCCTGGGAGGGCGGCACCACACCGACCTGGGGAAGCCCGGGCTCCGAGCTCTGGTCCGCCAGCTGCGTGAGCACCGAGGTGGCCACCGCCTCTGCCTTGGAAGTGGAGCTTACACCGTTGGAAGTGCTGACGGAGCTGTGCTGAATAGCTTCCGTGTGTGGGCTGCTTGGCACTGAGACGTCTTCTGAGCTGTCATCTTTATCTGCAGCTTCAGGAGAGAAACTGGTTTAGTTTTCTTTTCCCTCTTAACACAAAACCACTTCCCACGCAACAGCAGTTCCCTCCTAAACAATCAGCATTCATGGTATCACTTAATGCAGCAAACTGCAAAATAATCTACTTTTCATTGCTTTTTTTTTCTTTTTTTTCTTTTTTCTTTTTTTGAAACAACACTACTTCACATAAGCAAAGACGTGGATTGCATTTTGGAGTATTCAGCAAACAAGAACATTTTCACATCTTCAAAACCATGATCAGTGCCATCTAATTCCCCACCTAGTAAATGAACTGCTGGGTACTGTGCTCACGTTGTGTCAATAAGCAGCACCAATAGATTGAAGGTGCTACCAGGTCTGCTGCTGCTATACAAATTTTTAATGGGTGCCATTTACTTCATTTGCACAGTAGTGAAGAGATTGGTTCTGTGACCAATGATCATGATATCCTCTCTGAAAAAGGTGACATAACCTCATACGTTAGACAATATTTCCACAAGTTTTCAGACCTCATTATTTTCACATATTAAAGTTCAGTGACTTCTTTAGTGCACAGATGTCTCTCATTAGGATTTAAAATTATTTTTAAAATAAAAGTTCAAATATCTTTAGAAGTATTTATTTTTAGTATCTTTAATAATAATTCACTTTGACTGAAGTGAGTTTGCCACACAGTTGCCTCATTTTTATCTCATGACAAAGGGTAAAGATTCAAAAAAATCTTACTATGCAAAATTAGAACTTACAAAATGAGCATGATTTAAAATGTCTCACAAAGATGTCCTAGCCATGCTAAAATTATCCTTTTCCCCAGAATTTCAAGTTAGCCAAGGCATGATGCAAACACCATCAAATAAAAAGCTGAGTTAAAGGCTGAAAATCAAAAAGAAAATAAATCTACTGTTGTTCACACATCTAATTTTGAGTGAAGATCAAATTTAATTATAACTCTTCTGTAGCACTTTGTGCTATTTATTGTTCTTCAAGTCACTGCATAAAGCTTTTGTGAAAAATACTTAAAATGAACATACAAATGAAAGACTGGGAAGTCATTTTAAAACACTACTGACCATTGTGTAATCTAACAACATAGACCTACACAGACAGAAGAAGCAGGAACCATTGTGGGTGGCACAACAATTGAACAAAGCTTGATTTTCCCTAGATTTGCTTTTGTAATCCTCTTCAGATTGCTTGAGATTGGCCTACAAAGTTGAGCCACACAGGGTAGAAGAGATAGGAAAAAACGACACAATAAAAGATACCATAGCCCCATTACCACACAAAACCAGGATAACAGCAGTAACTGAAATGAAAACAAGGCATGAAAAAACAATGATGAAGTTTATGATGCACTGGGGTTTATACGACATACTAGAAAATTCAGTAAATTAGCAAGTCCAGTCCACAACATAAACATCTTTGAAGCAACCCTATGCATACTAAGAACCCGCTCCTCACCACTGTTTATTACCAAGCACTTTCAGAAAAGAATGGTAAGGTCAAAGAAGATATGTTAGTAAGCAAAACAGCTGTATTCCTTTGTAGGAACTGTTGCCTGGTTGATGAACAAGGAAACGATTTCTCTTATACCCCTTCTACAAGTACAAGTTCATAATCATTCGAAAGCATCATAAAGTTCTTAATCACAAGATTACGTATGTTACAGATTTTTTTTTTCTCCAGAAACTGATTTTTCTGATGTCCAAAGCATTAGATAGACAACATTGAGTTACATCTGCTGACAATTACTACATCGTAAGATTACATGGCAACTGAATACAGCAAGAAAATAATTATACTACTTCTGAAATGTGTTATGATCTTTAATAGGATTTGTCCATGCAAGAAAAGGAAGAACATGAGTGAGTGCCAATTTAGTTCATACTATTGAACAGGATTTAATCTTTGCTACACTTAGCTGAGACTTGCAGGATCTGATGCAAAAACAAATAAAAAGGAGCACACGCAAACTTCCTTAAGAACAGAAAGGAATTCTTGTGCTACCTCCTGAAAAATACTGAATTACTAGTTATGAGAGCAGCACGTTTTTCCCTTCAGACAAAATGAAACAGCCATGAGCTGGACACTTGTGGATAAAGCCTCCCCACTATCACACCTGATACTCCTTTCCAGACTGTTGTTTCTTCCAGGAATCTCAACTTTCCTATCACCTTTTCTTTTTTGCTGATCCCTGATTTTCCTGGTGGCAAAATCCTCCTTATCCTCAAAAAAACCATGAGATTTAAACGCTACAAGCCAGAGATAGAGAATGAAGATAATCTTTCAGTCAGAAGGAAGATCTTCCATTGTTCTGTACCTTTTAATATATATGGTCTTAATGTAAAATAAACATTTGTAATAACATCACAACAAGAAAAAACGTGAAGAGTTGACTTTCTAATTTTGGTTGGAAGATGATCTGAAGTGCAATGAAAGAACCAGTTAGGGTAACACTTATGACTACCACTGCACAATAGAAACTTCGGTATAGATGAGAAAATGAATATACTGCAGTGAAGAGATAAAAGGAGGTCATTCAGATATTTTCAGGCACTGTGGATGTGGCAGGGAGCTTACAGCAGTCAGATGACTATGTGAGATACAGATCTAACGCTTGCTAATGACTTCGACTGGAGGTGTAAGTCCTTGCAATAACTGCAAAACAGTATTTTGCAATGAGGTACTACCCTGAAGAAGAGCCTCTTTCATAGTCCTAAGTTGACAGGCACAGCAGCCAAAAACTGAACACAGAAGTCCATTCGAAGAATCAAAACAAAGCAAGAAAATGTATGCAATGAATACAGAGTATCCTCAGAGCCACCTCATTACAGATATTATTAATCACCTTAAGCTCAAAGATAGATAATTAAAAAACAAAGACTTTCAGAAGAACAATGGACTATAAATTTAAATTCAGACAGATTTTCCTCCCTCATGCACTGGAGAATTTTCTTGCACAGCGTTGAAATTCAAGGGTGCAACTGATTACATACCAAAATCATAACGTAGATAACAACGTAGAAGAGAGCCTGGACATTTTAATGTCTCCCCTGGTTTTGCCTCAAACCAAGGAAAACGCAAGATCCAAAGTAGAAGTGAATCTACAGAAATAACATTTGCAGCATGTTATAAGGCTTAACCTTTACAGACCTACATCACATGAACATTCCTGAAGGTTACACAGTTCCTAGACAGGAACTCTGTCTCACAAAGAGGAGCAAGTATTTCAGTAATGCACTGCAAAGTGGGCCGGGCTGAGCTGCAGACAAGATTTTAAATAATACCAAACAGAACACAGAGAAAACTTACAAGGATATGAAAAGCACCCTTGCACAATAATCAAAACTTGCTACCATTTAGTTCTTACCATTGCTTACAGGCAGCTTTCAGCAGCATAAGCAAAGAAGGAGTTGCAACTTCAGAATAAAAACCCAAATAATAATTCCCATATCCAGATCTAGTCCTCTGACATTCTCCAGAAAGGAAACCTTATGGTAATTGTCAGCTACAGAGAGACTACAGAGGAACCCCACTGGAAAATTATCATTTCTAGACTTGAGTTTGCTGCATCACTGCAAGGGCACATTCACAATTTACTGAAGGACTGTTGCTCGCTTACACAGAATGGGCTGTAGAAACACCTGAATAGTTTGGGTTATCCAAGGTTTGAAACTGGCTAGTTACCCTCTACTGTAACTTTAAAACTAACTTGAAAAAGAATGCACAAAAAATTTCATTTTCTACCACCTGCCTTACAGTCTCTATTTATCTTCTTTTACATTCAGTTTCATATAACTGATCCTGAAGACTATGACATCCTTTTGAAAAATATCTGAAACTTTTTTTTCCCTCCAACAGGAATTTTCACATTTTCTTTTCACAAGTTTTAGCTTTCTTGCTTTAAGTTCAGAAAAAAATAAAATAGAAAATACCTGCAAGTTGCAGAATACTTTTAGAAATAATCTGGTTTTGGAGAAGTAAAATGAAAAATAAATGGACCGTATTTAAATTCTTTGTATACACTACAATACCCCCGTGTTTGAAGATAAATTCAGAAGCAGTACTATTTTTCATTAGGGAAAAAAAAAAACCCAAAAACTTAAACCATCTGAAAACACAAAAATTGAAACAATTTTGTCCACAATACCTTGAAGCACCATAATAATAGTTCTTTTTTTTTTTTTTTTTTTTTACCTTCTGTTTTTGGAAGTAGGCACAAGGCTTTTTAAATAATGAAAATATGCACTCAGAAGCAATTTTCAGAAGGGACATCTTCACTGTTACGCTTTCCTCACTTGTCATGAGGCAAAAAGGCAAAAATGTGCCTGAAAAATCTGGAGGATCTTGTAAGATATGTAAGTAGGTGTCAAAAACATCCTGCAAAGCAATAGATTATTTCTGCCTATACTGCATCATAGGTGAAACCCTATTAAATTGTAGGCTTAGCTGTTAAAATACAGTCTACCCGGTATAAAGTGGCACCATCTCAGCAGTGTGCAATACTCAGCACTGCAGGAGCAGTGTAATCTGGTGTCTTCAGTTTCTTCCACAGAGATCCTGTTAAACCACTCAGTACGTTCTTAAGCAATTGAACTTAATTTGTTTATTTAAAAATACTTTGCCAACACTGTTTTCAGGAACACGTAAGTTAGCTGAAACTATTTTTTCCACCCATGAATTATACTGTGGGTAAATCAGTTAGCCAACATGTTTTCCTAACAGTATGCACACGCAGATGATGTGACAACATTCTGTCAGAGGGATGTCATTACAGCCATCCTTTGTGCTGAACGCTAACTTTCAAAAAAATTAAAAAACAAAACTGAACAAAGACAAACAAAAAAAACCAGAAAAAACAAGGAAGTGAGCTATGCTGCCATTTTTCTCCTATTATTAGTTTTTTCTAAACTGTGGTCTTTTTTACACTGATTAGTGTTGTAGTACATATTCATTTTGTTTTCTTTAATAAATCAGGAATCTTATAATCCTTTTTCAGAGGACAGAGAGCATACAGTATCACTAAGAAGTCTGTCATTAGTATTTCACCAAAGAAATCCTTAGCATATAATTAGCTTGCCAGTCTAAGACTTATATTTCTGAATTTGCATTAAAAATATTTGAACGTTTATCCTCAAAACATCAAAATTCAAGAAACCTACAGTTGCTGCTCTTTTTGGGGTTTGGGGCGGGGATTGTTAGGTTTTTGGTTTTTTTTTTTTGTTTTTTTTCCCCAGAAAATCTTGCATGCATAATGTTATCCCCTAGTAGCTTCTGTATGAAATTATGTTGTGCTGTCAGATGGGAGCCATAATGGCCTCATCCCTGCAGCAATCATTGTTAATATAAATCCCAAACATATTTCCATACTGTTCCAATTTGCTCCAAGATGCTATTTTCTGCCTTGTCAAAATGACTGGAGATCAAAGGACCAAGATTTATAAGCTCAAAACTGACAAAATCAGTATTCCAAGTATACGTGGCAAGAGAGAGTTGCTAAATCTCCTGAATCTTTTAAATTAAAAAATATTGCCCATTCTGATGAAACTGCTTACAATGACTACAAGTAAAGATGGTGGCCATTAAGTTTTATCGCAAGCACCTGAGGATCTGTTTGCATGCAATACAAAATGTTCCTTTATTCTCCTGAATTACTGACACTGGCAAATTAAAATGAAGTGGCTACATATGGCAGAAACAATCTTCACATTTACAAATATCCTGAAATATCACTAAATCATAAAAACGAAAGCTGTGGGTTATATATTATGAATGTTGCCTAATGCATTCCCGGCTCAGTTATTTGTAACAAATTTGTGTACAATGGACAAAATTGGCCATTTATTCTACAGCAGTGGCAGCAGCTGGTTCTGGCACTGCGTATCATATCCAAAAATGAAGTTACAAGTCAGGAAAGCATAATTAACCTTTAAAATGCTGGAAGGATAAAAATCAAATAAGCAGCTTACAGTGAAAATATGTATTAGAAAATAAATGCTAACTAAAACATTTGGTATTCCCTTCATATTTCCTTTTTAAAATGCCCCGTTAAAAGAGGTTGTTTAATGTGGAAATCAAAACAGCCTAGAAGACATTGTACAGTAGGAGGCACAAACCTGCATCTGATTACTTTAACAGCTTGACTGATCCTGGATGTTATGGTAAATGAGGACAGCTGTTGTATTACCTTTTCTGAAATCTCATTACGATAAAGAAAAAACCCACAAGGACCTTTCTCTGTACTAGGCTAAGATAAAGTATACAGAAATGGTTTATCATGTGCTCTTAATACTTTAATTATATTTTCCAAAGCAGGTGTAGCAGCCTACAGTCCATATATGCTAATTACCATGTGCGTTTATTAAACCAACATAAAACCCTCAATGATATGCAACAATTCAACTGAGAGGACCTAAATATTCCATATACATTCCTGCCTTATAATAACCTTTGAGATTAAAAAAGAAAATCTTTAGTGTAATATTAGAAACGCACTTCTTATTTTCAATGTTGATTCAGTTCACTTTGGCAGTATTTCACTGCCGCAGACTAAGGCTATAGGTAATGGAACATTACTCACTATGATAGCCAGATTTCTTCTGCATGGCGGTTACAGGGCAATCTTTATGAGCCAGAAGAAGCTGTTTCAGCTGTGCCACTTCATTTCTCAGCAGGGTGACTTCATTCTAAAGGAGAAGAAAGTTATGTACTTTACCAGGCTCAAACTACACGCATTTTGAAAGTCAGTATTAAGTTTTATAGGATTTTCAGTTGATCATTTAAGGGTAAACAAAATACAAGAATTTTCCATTTGGTGTATGTACAGCAAAAATGTATGCTTTTTTTTTTAAACAATCTTACAATACTTCTTATCTGAAACTTGATTAACTTTATGATTTCCTTAAATAGGAAACTCTTTTATGGAAAATACATGTTATTCAGTTTGCAGATGCAGAATCTACATATATTCTCATTCACATGATCCAGCTACTGTAAGACTCTCCTACAGAGTTTTATGAATTCTAACCAGAGTAAATCTACATTTAGCTACCCACATTCAACAGATGCCACAAACAAGAATACACTTATTTTTTTTAAGAAGCCTATGCAGCATTGATTTTGGCAACTACATTTGTACTTGGACTTTAAAAATCTCACGTAATGGAAAATAATTTAGAAAATGTCTGTTGATTTTCACATTTCTCCTTAACGATCATGTATAAAGCAAGTAGTGTATGAAGCAGTAATTAAGAATGATGACAAAACCTAAGTGTCAGTCTACACCGCTGAAGAGGAGCACAATCTAGGAGACAGCACTTGCAGAATCTAGTGACACTGCTCGTTCCCAGGCTGTGCCTTTCCACTACTGGGTGACCTTGAGGAAGGTCATTGTTCTTCTTTGTGCTGCAATTTCCCCATTTGTAAGATGGAGGACAATACTTACCTTCTCTGTAAAAGAATTTGATATCTATGAATGAGAAACAGTACATAACTATACCGACACTCCAAATTAAGAACAGTGTGGCATGGTGAGAGATTCATTTTCACTTAGAACATTAGAAAAATCAGTAGGTATCTACAGACTCAGGTTATCTGCAGTGCTTTATGAGCCTCACATTCTGATATGCAATATCTTTTCAGGGGTTAGTTTATTTTAAATGCAAGTCCTTTCCACTAATATGAAATACTTGAAGTTATTTAAACCATACAAATCTGCACACATAAGTAAAAAATGTATTACCCATGAATGCACGTGTTTATGCATTTGGAAGCAATTTAAAGAAAAGCAAACATAGAAAATTAGATTACAAATAAAATTATGTGGAAAAAAAACCCATGCAAATGTCGATCTGTCTGTGTAAGCTAAGGTAGTCCAGTCAGAAGAGATGAATGATAACTAAAAGGATTCTAAAATAATGAAAACATAATCAAGAATAGAATTTATTCGGTATACTTACACTAGGTAATATAATTTAAAAATACTGTAGCTAAAATATCAGATTTGGATGACAGCTTTTCTCTGTGCACTCTCCCTCTAATTAGAAGACCAATTTTATATTTGCAAAATATTCTTTAAAAAATTAAGGACTAATTTTCTGTTCAGTCATTTTACTGTGCCAAATATCCTTTGCAGGAACTTTAAAGCAAAAAGAAGAGCTGAGAGTAATTTGACTTCACTGATGTTTCTAATACAAGAGAACTGTGATTACAAAGAAAAAGGTTGTAATGAAAAAAAGAAAAAAAAAAAAAAAACCCACATCACCTACAAAACTCTACCATCTGGAATTGTATGTCCTGAAATCCTGGGCTGTTAAGGGAGCACTCTACTTGTGCCTCCAGCTTTCAGTTCTCAGTTCACCATGTTATTTACTGTGGCTCCACATGTCTGGATGCCAACCAGGCAGCTGCACAGAGTTGATACAGCAAAGTGCTGATGCAGTTTTGAGATACTTCTTGATAATGTACAGAAGCAGCAATGTCTAAGAATATGAATCATACTTCTGTTAGTTTAAAGGAACACTGGCAAAATAAACTATCAAATCAGGAAAAAAACATTCTGAAAGTTTCTACCTTCATCTCTCCCATTTAAGGAAGAATTTTATACACGAGTAGAATATATAAAAATGAAGCAGCTGTTTACCAGTGTAAATAAATGTAGTATTCATGAAAAACAGTTGAAAAGGCAGTGCCTACCTGAAAGGAATATAGAAAAGCAAATACCTTATTTTAAAGCAGATTTGGAAAAAAAAAAAGACAAAAAAAAAGACAAAAAAAAAAAAAGCATTCCTATACTAACTTCAAAACTTGAGGCACACTCCCTGAAAACAGAGCTAGCACTGTTAGTAACATCAACACTGTGCCAACAGCATCATATTCCACTTACAAACCATTCCTGAAAGCAGAAGAGAGTAAGTCCCAGACATACTTGGTATGTGGAATGTGAATGAGAGACAAATCAATAGCTGCCATTTACATGCTACTAGTAACAGCCACTTTGGACTGATAATAAAAGTGGTTATTAGAATCAACGTCTATATACCTTGCAGTTTTCTTATCATGCATCTGACAACATGACATCCTTCCAGCTCTTTCAAAATATGTTAACAGGTGGTCTTTATGGAAAATAGGCTAACAAGAAGAAACACACAGAACAAACAATTCAACAGTTGGCACGAAGACACACTGAAACTTTTTGCACACAGAAGATGAACAGCCCTCTTCATTTATTACGTCAAGAGCAGGTATCAGCCTTTCTTTAAACAAGCATGAAATATACTTCACATTCTACCTAGAAGAATTCTTATGTTCACATTTAAAAAGCATGCTAATATGGGAAAGCAGGATTCTGGGGGAAAGCACATCTATTTCCACCTGTATTCCATTTTTCAAGAGATATTTTCCCTTCTGTACATCACAGTACATTGCACTGTGTACAATATGTTCTTCTGCATCTGCCTATTTTCTCTGCATTCAAAACACACGTGTAATAATGGGACCAGATTAACCCTTATTAAGCTGCGTGCTGGGCAACATTTGTGAGGTGTATTTACCAGGCCTATTACCACAGACAGGCAGATGTGGCAGTTATGGGGATAATGGACTGTGCATTTATTTTTTATATAGCCTTCCTAAAGCAGCTTCTGTAGTACTAGCACAAACCATCAACTGATAAGGAATGTCTCCTAAAGCCCAGAAGGACCTCCTAAGGAAGACAGACCATTCTTCTACTAACAGAAGTAACACAAACTCACTAATTCTTTGTCCTTTGGAGTTTTTAAAGTGGTAGGGATCAAATAGGGAACATGCTACAGACTTTGGAATCAGACACTGCAATACCACTGAGCAGCCGCTGGGCACACATGGTCAACAGCTCCTTAAGAACATGTTACATAGCATACCATATTCAGGACAGGCACAGAGGCAACACAACAAAGTTTAACAATTCTCAGATCATTAAATGAGTCAACATATGAGTAGAAAACACAAAAAAGAAAACAAATATATTTCAAAAAGCTGGAGGCATGAAATAACATATGTAGCCCATAGAATAGATTGATAAAGGCCAATCTAATATATGTTATTGACATGATTTCATAATATGAAAATATTTCATAATAATGAAATCTTCATTACAGTAAAAAAAAAAAAAAAGCTTGAATAAATTACATTCTCACACACAAATTCAACTAAGAAAGCAAAAAACTGTGGAACAAAAAAATATGTATCAACCCACTACAGCTCTTCAAATCTGTGTGTACTGTTAGAGAGCTCCTAGTTTTAAAAACGTTGACATTAGAATCTGTGACACAAATATAACATGAGCACTACTGTGCTGAAAGAAGTTGAAAGCGTTATGCGAAGCACTGCAATGCAATTCCTAGTCATTTTGGTATTAACTTCTTTTTGTAATTATGATATCTCAGCAGGTCACTTAGATATTAAACAAGCACTACTAAACCCTACCCAGTCAGGCCACGAAGCTGTACTAAGGAAAAACTCCAAATGTAACAAGTTTACTATTAAATATAATGTAAGTGACCATTTCTGCCCACTGCACTGATCAGCTATGTTAGATTATTAAGTAAAACATTACTATGGAAATTCAGGATGGATGAAAGCTTTCACATAATAGTTTGTTTCTCTGACATTCAATACTCTTCAAATCATTCTGTTCTTCATAGTTAACAGTTTTGCTTTTGGCAAATTAAGGAATCCCTTTTTCTTGAGTTATTACAGAATTACTGCTTGGAAATCTGGAAATGTTTTGGTTTCCAGATATGTAAACATGTAAGTAAAAACCATAATCAAGATTTAGATGCAACTATAGGCCTAAGCAATGCATACAAATAAATACAGCAATATTTTACATGGGCAGCCACAGTTATTCTAACACTTTAGGAGACATTAAGATCACTGACAAAGTCCCAGGATGAAACGTTTTAGCATTTGCCATAAAACAAAGTGTAAAACATGATTTCCCTTCTGACTTTAGATTCTATTCTCACTCTGTATCTGTAACAAGAATTACATCGCGCTACAAACATCAATTTAGAAAAACTGCAACTGTTGAAGAAGAGAAAACCTGTAGCCTTCTCAACGAGACAAAGCTTTTTAATGTTTTTTCCCTAGATCATTACTGCTGCTATGGAGCACTTCTTCAATAGAGCATTAGCTTTCTTCTGTATTATTATCAGGTAGTATGCTTGCATGCCTTTATATAGATGTGTTATTTTGATTAAAATACCAGCAAACAAGTCTGATTCTACATTTTATCTGTTATAGGATGTTTGAACATGCACAGAACGAAACCAGGATTGCTCTCTCTCTAATAAGCAAAAGACTACTATGTTATTTTGTAACTGTACAATACTAATGCTGCTGTTACAGTAGCACCTACAGTAAACAAGGTGTGTGTGTATATAACTGTACAACAACTTTCATTATTGGTTTCAAACCCACTGTGACAATTTGTTACCAACAAATGATGATAGGGTAATTTCATAGTTTTCAATTATAAAAATGGATATGTACAAGTTAAAGGTAGTTCATCTTACCAAAAACTACTTTCATTAAGACAACTGAAATACAGCCAATTGTTTTTGTTGCTTTTCTTCCTGCGAGAAAAGTACGCTATACCTTCACTTGCTCCTTAGATTCTTGAACCTATAGTGCTACAAGTCATTTTGCAATTAGTGGATGTACAGTGAGGGCTATGACTACATTAAAGTCAAGTCCTCAGATTGTGAACAGATATGAGAAGATTATGTACTTGCAAGTAAGTTAAGTAATGCCATGATGTCAGGCAGTGTTTCTAGAACACGATTAATAGTTTCACATTATGTGCTTAACTCTGAATTTCTTGTATTTTACAATCTGATGCTGAAAATTTTTTAAGACAGAGTAGATACATTTTTTACTTTTAGGAAAAATTTCTTTAAGGTTGGACAAACACTGGAACAGGCTTTCTAGAGAGGTGACTGGTGCTCCATGCCTGTCAGTGTTCAAGCAGCATGTGGATAATGCACTCAGTAACGTGCTTTGGTTTCATTTGGACTCAATAATCTTTGAAGGTCCCTTCTACATGCACTATTCTGTTCTAGTCAGGAAACTGAAGGTGGCTGATATTTTCTAATGCTGATTACAAGATAAAACATGCTCTACTATTCTGTGGTTGAGCTGGGACATCTTCATCAATAGCACCAAATGAAGGTTTTAATAGGAAAGATCCGTGAATTTGACTCACTGAACAACTCTAAGGAAATGAGACAAACTTTAAAATATCAAAATACTTTTCACTGCATTTTCTAAACAAATGCTTTATTTAGGAAACAACATCAAGCTTTCCTTTCCATAATTCTTAAAATGATGCTTTCAGACTTTTTATTTTGAAACAATACTTCCTGCCAATTCTTGTGTGCTGTGGTAAAAAATTAAGAAAGCATATTTTAGCAGCAGCAGCAATTTAAACAAAAGGGTCACGGATTGTTTAAGGGGGAAAAATGCCTCAATGTGACAACTTTCCAATGAAACCTCTGATGGTGTGGAGAAATAACTGGTAATATATACTAGACTACCCTCTTACAGTATACATCTCTCCCTCTCAGAGTTATGCACACTGGGAGGGCAGCGTGGTGAAATTTGCACTGACACTGCCTGTGCTGTACCTGTTCTGTGGACAAAAGAGGCCTTCAGTTTCCAGTGATGTCAATCTGGCACCTTTCACGAGCACTACCTTCACTTTAAAGGAAAAAACAGTGAAGTTAAAAAGAACCAAAGGAAATAAAAGAAATGTTATTTAAATAACTCAGACTGTGATAGAAATCGTAAGTCCAAGGCATTTTTTAAGGTAAGGCTATTAAGCCTTTACTCCAACATATCAAGTCACTTAGTATCACTGTCTGAAAGTTATTTAAAATGGAACAAAGGACAAATGGGAATGATCCTAAGTTTACACATCTTAAAATCAGGACACTCTTTTATATTCTTACTTTGCTGGAATATGCAATTCAATACTGGATTTTCAATTCTGACCTGAGACATCATTTAAAAGTAGCTTACATCTCTGATTTCATGCAAAGTTTAAGTTCCATCGATGCAGAATCACTGTCCAAGAGTGATTTAACCATTTTTACTCAAAATAATAAGTATACCTGTAACTGGCCATTTAGCGAGCTCAGGTCCTCAGCCTTTTTCTCCAATGACTGTACCCAGACTTTCCGTTTCTGTCGGCACCTGGAAGCAGCAGCTCGGTTTCGCTCAAGAAACTTCCTTCTTTTTTCATCAGGGTCTTCATTAGCAGCTCTTCTTCGCCGACCACCTGTATTTGGTGTTTGTTGTGTAGGCTGAGCTGGTGATGCCTGAAAACAGCACAAAGTGTTAAAGAAGTTATCAGTGTAATAATAAGTTTTCAAGTGCACTAGGAAACAACCCAAAAACACATCGAAGCCTTACAGTAAACCTTGCTTTTATCTCACTGACCCTCTATTTAGGGACAGTGACTGTTTCCATTGCCATCTACAAATATTTTCTTAAGAAACTGCTCTTCTGACAGGTTTCTTAGAAGCAGAATGGCAGTTGTCCAGGATTCACTTTGGAAACACCTCTTCCAGCAGCACCTCTAGTCTGACTTGGAGCTTTTGTCCCTTAGTTTCCTGTTTTCACCTGCCACCTCACAGGAAAACACTACCACTTCTAAGCTCACTAACCTCCTTTCAGTGCTCAGAAAGACACAGTATTGAAACTCTTCTTGTGGAAGCCCAAAAAGATCCTTAAAGCAATTAACATAAGTGTTATTCTTGATGCAGTTAAGAAGTTCAGAAGAGTGCTTATGATGTGAAATGCAGTAGACAGATGTAATATAAATGCAAAACAAAGTAAGCTGTTCTTTTTGATTATACAAAATCAGTGGTATAATTTTCACTTACTGCAAAAATTCCTGCTAGCACACTCCAAAAATCAGGAGTTAGTTTTAAATCTAAACAGACAGATAATACCTATTTTGAAATTATCACCTTGAATAATGCATTGCAGAAAGAACATTATAAACTCTTCATTACTACACAAATACTGATATGACACCAAAATACATACAGTACCGACACAGCAATCTGGCAAAATAACATTTAATCATCTAGAAAAGGCAGTCTGCTGCATAACTATATCTATCTATGTATCTATCTATCTATATAAAAGGTGTTGCCAGCATTGCACCAGAGCAGTCAATTTCTCCCTCAAACCTCTAATTCTGAGAGTATTCCATAGAACTTGTTAAGTTCTGCTTCGTAAATCAACAGTAAAGAAAGAAGTTTTTATGTAACAAGGAACGGGGCAGGAAATGCATTTCCACTTTGTTGTCATACCGGTGTTTCAGTTGTTGAAGTTGCAGGTTGCTGTAGAGACTGTGGTCGCGGCTCATCTGACTGAGTCCTAACCAACCCACTCGGGTGTCCCTTGGCAGTATCTCCATTTGTTACCTGAGGGTGCTGCTGGGTCAAGGCTGCTTTCAGTCTCTGAAAGAAAACAAAATTTCTTTTTCCCCTCAACATAATGGAAATATGGTAACATAATTACATAATCATAGGATAACTTGAGGACTTATGAATGATTTATATTAGTTACTTCCACTCTGCTTGGCAAACAGGAAGTCCAACTCTATCACTACTGGATTTTTTGCTTGTTTTTCACAGGCTTTCAACAGCAACGTAGACATATATCTACTTGAAATCATAACTTCTTGCAATCATCATAACAACATCTCAGAAAGGACTGCAAGCTGCATGGAGAAATAAACAAAAAAACCTCCCTGGTGATGAACAGTTTCCATGCAGAGATGACTTGAAAGCATGAAGAAATAGTTGTTGTAACTGGTATTGTATTGCACTTGCAATGACACACGCAGAACCAGGAATACTGGCACAGTACTCAGCTGCAATACTTAGGTCTGAAGCTGGCTCATATATTTCCATTTGGAGTCCTTATTTTAAATATTGACAATTTCATAACAGTAACAATTTTCTATCACATTCCTTATACCAAACACATTTGTATATAATATTAACAACATTTAGTTATTGTCTTTTTAATTAATTCTTGTTTCAAGGTGGTTTAGAATATGAAGTAAATGTCAATAAAGTACTAATTATTAAAAAAATGTCTTAAAAATGCTGGAGCTGGGCTGCATTTGGTCAGTCCAAAAAAAAACAAAGGATTTTGCATCTAGTCATGCAGACAGATACTCCATATCAGCTATCATACAGTATCCAGTGCCTCTCAGGATTAAGCCATTGAAATATAATGATAGCTCTCTTCTTCCCTGATAGGATTTCCTGGCTCTCGTTTTACATTTAAGCAACAGATTGCAGATCCACCTCTGCCAAAACTGCAAAAAATCTTTGTGATATGGCAAATTGACCCTCCAAGTAGTTGACTGTAGCCTCTAACCACCACCAGCAGACATCCTGTTTGAAGACCACACAGAGAACTGAGAAGAATGAGAAGGTCCTAACATTCCTTTGCTAGCTTCCTATTAGAGAAGCTTTAATCAGTGACTTCTATTTACCAACGCAGTAAGCTTCTCTAGTAGCCTCTTTGATAGGAACTGCTCTATATAGAGTGTGACAGCACACATCACCCCACTCAAATTCCAAATGCACTTCTCAAAAACAAGAATGTAAGAGATCCCCTACAGCTCTGTATGGACACTCTGTATACCTTTAAGCATTATTCCATCAGATAAATAGTTGGCTTCTAACAGCCTAGCTCTGCCTGGTAATCCATGAACTGGAATCATTAAGTGGGACCTTTCAAGCACTTCCATCTTTTTAAGAATATGGGATGTTCTACACTAGCAAAACACGAGTTAAATGATTCAAAAGCTTTACACTGCAAAATAACAGTTGCACACAAATTCTCTATGCATTGTTGTAGCTTCATATTATAAACAATCTGACTTTTGAGCTATTAATTAAAGAGTATGAACAACAAACAGAGTCATACAGAGATACAGAGACAGTAAGTTTTGGGTTGGTTTAATTTATTGTGGTAAAATTACTGAAATAAGATGTCAGTTTGTCAACAGATCTGCCAAAGCTTACTTAATGCTGGTATGTAGTTAACATACATTGGAAAAGATGAACTTATGTGTGTAACTCACAATGATGCAGGCTTTAGGGCAGGATGACACCATTTTTAAAGATAACATGCCCACTACTCTTAGTATGTATACTAAGATTTCCTGTACTTTGGAAATGCTAAGTCCTTTACAATAGTAAAGCAAACTGACAACTTGTACCTTCCCAATTCACCATGGAAACACAGGCTACCAAAAAAACTCAGTCTATGCCTCCATTTAAACAATAGAATGGCCCCAGTACTTTCTAACTGAAACTACGGAAACAAACTCCATGATCTAAGTACAAAAATGGTGATTTGATGATCTTCTTCATCAAGCCACAAGATCAGGATACTGAGAGCCCCATCCAACCTGGCTTTGCACATCTCCAGAGATGGGGCATTCAAAGCTTCGCTGGGCAAAATGTTCCAGGTGTTACCATCTACTAATAATTATTCAACCACAACGTAGTAACTTACCATACAAAGGCATTCTCCTCTTCCACTGTGATTAGATTTCATCCATCTCAACTGTCTGGATATGTAAGTTCAACAACAAGCTAAATTCTAATGTTTAAGGCAGTGTAGCATAAAACTTAAATAGTATGTGGATGGTCAGTGTGTCTGTTCAATTCTGTTTGTGGTTGTATGAGCAAACTTTGATGTAAGCATCCACCACACATAGGAAAAAAAAACCACCACCAAAAAACTCTGTGAACTGTTCGAAATGCTTTGTAGCATTTGCACAAAGCCAGCTCCTTAAATAAGTTTCACTGAACATATCCACTCTAGTAAAAGACTGGCTAAGGTCAGAAAACGTGGGAGATCAAATAAAAGTAATGAGTATTTGAGTAGGTTTTGAGTTTTGATGACCATTTTTTGTGGTTTTTCTCACGTAAGGCAAATAACTTATTATTGTCCAGGTTCATATTTTAACTCTTCATTTCTGTGTTACAGACATATTTACAAAGTTAGACTAAAAGTTGATGCTATTACATTTGTATGTTGCCCATTTAATTTGAAAATGGCAAAAGTAAAGTAAATATAAAGTGCTACTTATAAAACATATAAGCATAGGGATATACGAATAAAGGAGAGCTTTCTATATTGTAATGCTAACATTCAAATATTATTGTTTTGTATGTTAGTAAATACATATACTTCTTTCGAAAATTACACTGTTAAATCAAATCAGAAACTTTTGGAAAAAAAAAAAAAGGAAAATCACTGGCTATAGCTTTATATCACAGTTTCAAAGTTGAAATAGTAGTTCTGATTAAAACTATCAAAAAAGTGAGAAATTACATGGAAAGTATTATTACACATTCTCCAAGGATATTCAATTTAAGCATTTCATAGCTTAGCAGGTAGTGCTGGAACAAAATACTGTGTGGATGTTGTACTTCCTGTGAATAGTGAGACATCAAACACTGTGGGAATCTTGGGAATCTCAGTTTGAAAAATCCAGTATATTGAAACAAATATTAGCATAAACATACATCAGCATTAATGTGTGGGGAAAGTTGATAAAAAACTCAGTTTAACATTTTTTTTGCTTACTAGGGGCAACCTAGAAGTGGTATTTTCAAATAGCTTAATAGCTTTTAAAGTCTTGATTAGCAAGGTTTTATTGTTTATGTACATCTTTGAAAACAAATCCTCACTGCATTTGTCAAAATTTGGTAGGACTAGATCACTCCATCAAGAGCTCACGGAAACAAGATAATATTCTCCAGAAACAATTCATGAAAACTCAGATCCATATTTCATATCTGCCACAAAAGCTCATCAGAGTAATAACCCTCCTTCTCCTGGGTGTTATCCTACCATCTGCTGCTCTATTACTTATCTTTATTTTGCAACTAATTAACAGCATAATCTTCTAAATTCAGCAAGTTAATTATCATTATTGTGGTCTTTGCAGCATCATCAGTCCTTATGAAGACTTGTCTCTCCACCCCCAGAGAACATATGAAAATGAAGTAGGTTGTGAGAGGGTCTGTTTCTTTAGAGTAGGCTCATTAGGTGTTTGCTGATTAGCTCGGCATGCAGAGAGACAGGTCAGAAGAATTCTGCTGAACACGGGGTCCCATACCGGGCTCAAGCAAGTTAATGCAGGCTTCTGAACATTTGCCAAGCTGCCCTGTCAATTCTCAGTAGAAACCTCCTGCAGAAAGCCCACTGGCTGCCCACTGCGTGCAAGCCATTTCTCAGTTTGTGACAAAAGATTTTACATGATGAGGGGAAGGAGGCAGGGGAATTGTTAGTGTAAAAAGTTAGAACAACTTTTCTTTCACTGAGAAACTTCTGCAACCCACACAGAAGGGTGTGAAAATTAGGTTTGCAGCCACAATCCATACACTCAGAAAAAAGGGATGCACTACAACTAGGAACAGCTCACAGCTCAGATTTAATCTCTGAAAGCATACAGTTTCAGATCTTTTCACAAACAGATCAGAAGCAACTATGCAGTACTTACAATTACAAATTCTTATCATAGAATGGTCTGTGTTGGAAGGAACCTTTAAACACCATCTTGTTAACATCCAAGCACCCTTTACCTGAGAAGCTTCTTTGTTTTTCTAACACCTACATCTAATTCTAACATTTCCTAAAATATTACAAGACTAATCTGTACATTTTATTTTACTAAACTACGTAGCATTTAGTTTGCTCTGCACAACTAATATGAAATCATGCCATAAAAGCGGACAATTTATTTTCAGTGCACTGCAGAAACGTGAAACACATTTTCATTCCTACTGTCACTCCCAGTACAACAAAGATACACTCAAAAGAATACCAGCAGAAGACAAAAGGTTGTTCTTGAATGAAATCTCTAGTCATATTTCAATCAACTCTGCAAGCAACAAGAGTTACAGGTTCCAATCATATTCAAACTGCAGTTAACAGTGCCTGTTACAGGTGTGAACGGAACACGTATTTGCTACAGTAGCTTAACAGTGTACAATGAAATAAAAATGCAATCCAACTGTGCACAATTATCCCATAGCACTGACACACATATGGCATTGCATATGTAACATTGTATAGTGATGAAGCACACACACAAGATTGTACTTAACACGTTCTTCCTCCACTATATTTTAGCTGTTTGAGTTGAGAACAGTATGCAACAAGGTCATCAACTGTAGGGATGTGGATTGTTACATAGACAATATAATATTTTTGTCTCGTGGCTTTTATCTTGTCTGCTTTGGAGTTGTATTATTTGCAGTTGGTTGATTTTTTTCTATCTGCTATTACACTCAGTGAACCTGTTTTCATACGCAGCTGTTCCTCCACAGAATTCATGTGATTATTTAACGTCCAGCAACTTTAACAAAGAGAGAGCAGTGTTCCCAAAGTCACGACTCAATAACTCTCTTCACACGAAAAAATCAAAACTGTCTTTCTGAAGGAGTCTGATATCAGATTGAAAACATTTTGATCAAATTTTGATCAAAATTTTGATTATTGTGCACTAAGCTGGGACACTGTAATACAATGAAGAGAGCCTACTTAGAAACTGACTTCAAAAAGCTGTTCATTTTTGGGCTGGAGTGGGGGAGTTACTCAGCAACTACATTAGGTCTCTTAAGGGTTATAAACTCCCAGGACAGATGAAGGAAAGCCTTAATTGTGTTCCAGGAAGGCACCCTACACCAATTATGAAACAAGACTTCTGCAAGTGTTCTAAAAGCCTTTAGCTTTTAGAAGTCAGAAACTCAATTTGTTTTTACTGTAGTTGACTCGTGATTTTATAAAAATAAATGTATGATGTTGTATATACAATTTGATATATGCAGCTCACAAGTAGCTCATAAAAATAGGTATTCATAAAATAATAAGAAAATTTGGATATTTTTACATCAACCAATAGAAATTAAGTTAAATATTAAATTAATAATTAAATGCCAAATCTCTACAATCATTGAAAGTAACAAAAATACAAATACAAATATATATATATTTTTAAAGGTCAAAATTCTCACCTTCACTTTAAGGCAAAAATATAAATATCTGTAACTGTATCCTTTTGTAAACACTTAAGGGAGAAATGAAGAATTGAGATGAGGAATGAAATCAGAGCACAACAAGCTTTCTGATCATACTCTAACATATCTCAGCTGCTTCAAACATCTTGCAAAAAAAAAAAAGATTGGCAGAAATAACCTCTGTAAAGAATGGCACAAAGTATAAAGGAAGGGAAGTGCCCGGTTCCCATCTTCAAGTGAAAAGCTGCTTCTAACATTTCTTCAAGACTTTTACCCCGAATCTCTGAAGCAGGTAGATCTGTGTTAAGAACACCTTGAAACAGTATTGACATACATCTGGACAGTAGAAAATGCAGACTATTGCATTAGGAAACAATGGGCTTTAAAGAAAAGTAAGGTTTGAACAATTATGGCCAAAAGCTTACATGACAAAACCCTCTGGAGCTGCACTGAACCTATGAACTTCTCCCATCTTGCAACTCATACATTATAAAACTTACCTTCATATCTGCAGAGCAGATGCAAAGTTAGGAACACATCTGAGCATTTATTTATTTTTTAAATATTTGCTACATACTCTGTTCCTACATTTTACAATGCAGTATGAAAAAAATTTGTGAGAGATTGCAACATTTGTCCGTAAAGTACAAAAAAATCTCCAACTAATAGACAATTAAAAAAGAAAACAAACAACAGAAAATCCTGACTCCTATGCTCCAATTGCTGAGAGAGCAACATCACAGCTGTCCCTCTTCATTCAGTTTCCATTTAAAAATGCAGTAAGAATATCAGGCTGACAGGCTTCATCCCAGAGAACTGGATGCAGGAACTGCTCCCTGCCTTCTGCTTAAACATACCAATAAATCCATAAATTGCAGTCTACTGTTAGTAGATGAAACATACATCATTTGATCAGTGATTAAATTTAACTCAGTAGAATAGTTTATATTTCACCTTTCAGGAGAACTATCAATAAAGTGAAAAGAAAACAAGTAGTTGCAAAAATAGGTAATGAAGACTTCTTGTCTTAGCCCAGAACACAAATGAAAAATAGAACTGATACTATACCTTTGAAGAATTGGATCTGTTGCAAGCAAAAATATTTTTCAAGAGATATCAGAAAAAATTAAATAGAAGAAAGTACTTGGCATCACAAAAGGTTTGGATTTTTAAAATTAAATGGAACTTTACAGTTAATAAACCATAACATATCTGTCAACAATGCATCACATGGCAGAGTGAGTTAGTCTTCCTTTCGGAAGCTTTTCTGCAGAAACGTTAAAATTCTCATTAAGTTGCCTTTACTTGAGGAGCAATAAGAAATTAAGGTTTTTATTTTCATGAATAGGCACTATATAAAAGTATATGAGCATAAGAAACATACATAATTCTGATATTCTTGAATTCTGCTCATGCTTTGTATTAGGAAACAAGGAAAGAAAGAAGAAATTAACTGCAAATATACTTTTTACAGTCTCATTTAAAAAAAAAATATAGGCAATCACTGAAGTGCATATATTAGCTAAATTCTAACGAGAAGACTAACGAGACTATTAAATTTTAAGTCTAATGATCTTTGTTGTTCTTTGCATCCAAGTGATTGCTTCTTCCAGTGAGAGATCAAAATCTCCACTACATACATGTGTTTTCTCCCGTGCTTTAAAGCTTCATAAGGACAGATCGCTCAAGAGTAATCTGCTTAAGAACCTAAATTCCAGCCCAAGAATGGGAAATACATATTAGGTGATAATTTATCCTTATTTCACAAAATAAAACTTCACACAAGTCTCCTAATAACTACAAACGTGCAACATCTGTGGGCAAAAACAAATCTCATTTTCACTTTTTTAGCTTCTTCTCTCCTATATTTAAGATAAACTTCATCCCATCAGACCTGGTTACACTGAAGTTATTACCAGGCCCCCAGCATAAGGAAGAAGCAGAGCTGTTGAAGCAGATAGAGAATAGGACACAAAGATGAACAGAGGGCTGAAGCAGCTCTCCTCTGAAGAAAGATTGAGGGAGCTGGGCTTGTTCAGCCTGGCAAAGAGTATTTAAGTTATTGAAGGGAGATTATAAACAAAGGGAGAACAACTTTCTACACAGCCTGATATAAGACAAGGGCAAATTCTTTTAACCAAAAAGAGGGTGGATTTAGGTTAGACATTAAGAAGAAATTCTTCACTGAAAGGGAGGTATAGGAGGCTGCCCAGAGCGGTTCTGTATGCCCCATCTCTGGAGATGTTTCAAGGCCAGGATGGACAGGGGCCGGGGCTCTGATCTGCTACCCACTCTGATGGGGGGTAGCAACCATGCCCACTTATGGAATTGGATGGGCTTTAAGATTCCTTCCCAGCCAAGCAATTGTGTGATTCCACATTCCTAGTGGGATAAGGATGAACAGAAAGAGACTTTTATCCTTTCTGTTCCTCTCTACACTATTTTAATGAAACTGAAAGGATAACCTGACAGAATTAAGAAAAGTTTGGGAAGGAGAATGGCTAAGAAAAGGTAAAGAGAAATAAGAAAAAGAATGTTAAGATCATCCTCCCACTCAACAATATTGCTGTACAAAATTAAAAAAAAATCTAGCAGGTATTCTTGATTCTTTTTTAGTTCCTCAAAAGAGGAACACTGCTTCACAAGACAAAAGCATTTTACATTTCTGTTGATAACTAGATAAGTGGGTTAATTGTTACTAATACTATGTTATTAAAATAGTTGGGGCAATAAGGAAAAGCCAGCAAAAACAGCAAAGCAACTAATAGTTTTTAATTCAAACTACCAGCACAACTTGATTACTAATTTTTTTTTCTTTTTAAATCTCTGCCTGTTTTACTCACAATTTCCCCATACAATACCCCCTGAACAAAACAGCCCACACACAACCAAAAACACACAATACAACTTCTAAAGTACGTCAGCAGCATATTACAAAAAAATTTGTCAACTGGATTATATTTGAGAGTCTGAAAACATTGTTAACACAGCACTTTCTTTTCCTAGATTTTTTTTTTTTTAAAACAAGAAACATCACATCTTTCAGGAAGAACTACATTCTGCTTCTCCAAAGACGATGTTCACCATAGACAAGCTACTGTATTTGTCTTTCTTTTAACTACTAACATTTCTAAACCTCCAATGCAAGAAGCAAGAAAGAGTTCATTTGAAGACCATTTAAAAGAAAGACATACACCGGAATTTAAAATAATTATAATCAAATGCAGCTATTCTTCAGTTTCATTAAATTTGTAGTTGCAGATTTTAGACTAACAAAAGAAAACTAAAGCCATTCTAAAAAGCAATAAAATTTAATCAATTTCTCAAGTTAGTCTTCTTGAGGAATAATGGAGTTTTTCACTTACCAATTTAGCCTCAGACTGCACTGGCTGTGGGGAGGAAGGCCCTGGGATTCCTGGGATACTAGGCACCATGGTGACAGGTCTAACAAGCTGACCAGATAAAGTATAAAAATGAAGAAAGCCTGAGTATGTTATCATAACACAGAGTATTTGACACCACTACCCTCTGAAACCAAAACAGCTGTTTCAAGTTCTATGCTGCACTTATGCAAACCTGCTATACTTTCAAATTAATGTAACATCATGCTTACTTACTGGAACTGCAGCAGGGACATGTACATTAGAATTTGTAATAGATGCAGGAATAGCAACAGGCATGGTTTGTCCATTAGGAAGATGTAACAGCAGTGGAAACGGGCCTGGAACTGGACTGAAAAAGGAATTACATGTATTAGAGAAAACTTATCCAGAGAAGAGAACAACCTTATACATACACACGGAATAGTATTTCACATGTAGGGAAGCACCACTTTCACCCAACTGTCTCAAAGTTGTATAATAACCAAAGAAACAGTAACTGACAGTTAGCAAGACAATCTTTCTAGAATCTGTAAGAAAGCATTACACCAAGTTTTATGTAACTTACACTATTGGTCTGTTAGAGGATGGAGCCTGGGTAATAACAGTACTGGACGTTGGTGACGGTATTGCCTGCTGAATAATAACGCTGGAGTCAGAACTCGTAAGTAGAACGTTAGGAACCTGTAGCGATGCTGGACGAACTATCGTTGATGTGGGCTGTGCAGTCTGCTGCAGTGACACTTCCTGAGGAGAAACCAAATCAGTTTGAAAAATAGTTATGCACCATGAATTCAGATCATAAAAGGAATTTAATTTAAAAGAACGTATCAGAAGTTCTCTAGCATCTGAATCAGCAAGAAGAATCAGTTGTACATTTAAAAAAAAAATTAAAAATCTTTGGATTAATTATTTTAATCACAAAAATGAAATACTAGCGTTATTTTAGTTTTATGACCAATCTTGGCTCTATTTATGATAAAGTTACAATTAATATCCGATCAAATCTAATTATTAGTTAAATATTTTTATAGCAAGAAACTCACTGGCGCTATCTGCACCATTGCACCCACAACAAATAAAACATTCCATGGTGTTCTTACGAACATTTCAAATTCAGCTATTGTATCATCTTTAAACAAAAACAAAATAGGTTTATTTTCTAGAAAAAAGAAAAAAAAACAATTTATGCTCCTTTATACATGACTTATATATGCTTTATAAGTAGAGCGTTATGCAGTAACAGCTCCCTGGAATGTTACATGGAGAGCTATGACAAATATTTGGATGTCCTGACACAAAGGATCTGAGCACAGGAATTGAATTTCCTGGCTACAACTAGGTAACAGACAAAACTCACTGCAATTCTTAGCTTAGCAATCAGGTAGCACACATTATGAGGTGCAACATAGTACAAGGAACCCAGTGAAACCAGAAATGCCTTACCAAAACCAGTGCCTTCCTTCTCAGGAAAGCTTTCATATGGTCAGACTTCAGATTGTCTTTACATGGGATTTTTTGAAGTTATTTGGTATTTTCACACTAACTCTACAGTCCAGGGCATAAAGCTACACTCTTGAGACCAGCTTATTTTAGTTGCTCTGCTGTGAGACATTATTTCAAATAGAACTTCTCACACAGATATCACACAAGCTGTATTGATGAGAATTCAACTCAAGTTGTTAATGTTTATTAACAAAGCTTGAAGTACCGTGTCTTAGCCATCTTAGTTTTTTTGTTTGTTTTTGTTTTTTGTGTACATTCCCTGGAAAATAAGCATCCAAGTACTTTATAGAATTGTATATGGGCTAGCAAAATGTGGGCTTTAAAAAAAAAAAAAAAAAGGACTTCAGATACTGAATTTTCCTCCCCTTCAAAGTTCACAGGCTAGATTTGACATCAGGGTTCATTAATTCATTCATCTTTTTCCCCAAGGGACCTAAAAGAGCCTATTCACGGTGAGAGAGTTTCAGGAGAACAACAGAAACACAGCAAGGAAGACAACAATACATAATTTTTAATTTTTTTTTTTAGCATCAATACCAATCTAGTGAAATGATACATTATAAAACTTGAACACAGTACCTAAGGTTATGGACGAGTGCCCAAAGAAAACAGAAGTACAGTATGGAATTACAGAAAAAGAAAAGAAATAGGAAGAGGCATATTCTTAGGACAGTGAACACTTCTTCACAGATGAGGAATTTGATGTAACAGCTGTGCAGATCTTACTCTCTGAGAAGAGCCACAGAAAGCAGACTAGCTTCTTGACTGTAAGAAATTAGAGGAAGGCAGAAGGGGAGAACATTTGCCCTGAATCTAGCAAGAGTTAACTGAAAATATAGCATTGTGCCATTCTTCACTTGTTTCTGTTTCATTTTCTCCTACCTGCTGCTTGCCACTACTACCAGCATTGTTACTGCAACCCAGTAGGTTAGCAGAGTCACCACAAAGTCTATTCCTACCGTAGGACTCGAACACAGGAATCTTTGCCATATGTAGCAGAACCAACAGCTTTAAGAGGCTTGGGTTGTTTTTTTTTTTGCTTTTTCACCAGAAATATCTTCATATACAGCAACCACAAATATATACACATATAAATATAAATGCAGGTATATGAGCACCACAGAATGAATACCCATGACAGAGTAATACTACTTTCTAAAAAAAGGTGAAAAATAACAAACAGGTAGCTACAGCCACAGAGCCATGGTGCGTTACAACTTTAAGACAAAAATGCACTTGTGCAGATATTCATACCTTCTCAGTAACAGTACTGCCAGAACAGACCCTTTTCTGTATGGGTCTGTGTTGTCAGCAACTGCGAGACCCCCCCACGGCAATGCAACAGGTCTGGGGGAGTTTTTTAAGTACCTGTGTGAACAGATGGGGCAATAGCTCTAGAAAACAACGGTCTAAGGAGAGAAACGTGCTCAAAGGCAGCATGTGAAAAACTGATAAGCTCCAGAGAAAAACAGCCCTGATGAATTTGTAAGAATGGATAAACTCAGAAAAGCAGCTGAATCTGCACATGGTCACCAGGGTGTGCACAGCACCCATGTCAACATGCTGTATGATTCAGGTAATGTCCACAAACTTGGTGGCTGCTATGAGCAAGCAAAGATTACAGGATGATATGGGCTTGATGAAAGAATGGACCCCCTAAAAGACTTGCCAAACAGCCACCTAACCTTCCATCACTACAACCTTCCACTTATGAGCAAGCAGCTGAGACTGGCCTCCCAACTTCAGCTTCAACTACGCAATGCTGTAAGTTACAGCACTGTGTGAACATTGGCTATTGATAACAGCTTAACTGGTGAGGTCCTAATAAAGATTGACTATAAACTGAATCTCTTCCTCGAGTCTCTAACTGGAGAAAGGTCATTTGCAACTTTCACACCAAGTACTCCATGGTAAATGTATTTCAGCAACCAAAGATCAATCTAGTAACATAACGTAATTCTATGAAATTCTGAGAACAGAAACCTCATGTGAACGCAACTCTATTAAATACAGCCTATCTTAAATACGGTGCTTTGTTTAGAAGAACAGAAATGATCACCAAACATTCACAGAATAACATGTTTATTCAGTTGAAATCAAAGTATTTTCAATTTCCTCTTCTCACACTAACACACATTAAGTTTAACTCTGGAAAACATAAACGTGCTAATTACTTACACAATGCTGCAATAACGTAAGCTGGAGATGCATTGGATCTACAAGAAACTGTCATTTTAGCAACATATAAAAACCCACAGGCACACCACTCCAATAAAGATACTCACTAGCCAAAGAATTGTTCTTATGAAGTGTAAATTTTGTCTAAAATAGGGTAGTCTGTAAATTCTGCTAAAGAACAAGGACAAAAAAAAGATAAATTGGCAGAATCACGACCTTAAGAGATTTTACCCACCTGTACAAGAAAAAGAAGTTTAAGTCTATTCAAAGATACTGAAGATTTATTGAAAGGACCTCTCCCATCCTTTTATTCTTGAAACTAAAAACCACTGAAGTTCAGAAAACATTTTACAGAGGATGATAATTATATTTTTACATTTGTTTTCAATACTTGCATATTTGCAAGTATTTTGACTCTAAAAGCAAATATCATGCAAAAACTTTCTGATACAATCAATGAACACTTGGAATTCTTTATACAGAAAGGCAGATGGCCAGAACTATTGCCGTAATTGATTAACACTAAGAAAAATGGCTTTGAAATAATTAGTTTAGGGAATTAGCTACCTGTCAACAACAAGAAGAACAACTTGAGAAACTTTGTTGAGGGTCTCCTTCTAAAATATCATTAATAAGAAACTATAATGAGCTTGGAAACTCTGAAATAAGAAGTTAACCTTTATTTGCTTATTATTTTATGGCTAAAAGGCTTCAGCTACTTATAATGGTATCTTAGTCTATTCTACATAGAATAACAACTGCTACTGAAGCTTCGTGGAACTAAGAAAACTCTCCTAGAATACTAAAAATAGGATGAAGCATAATTTTCAAGAGTGCCTAAGAAATTCCTTTGACAACTACAAAGAAAATGAGAACCTCCTTCCACATACATTAACTGTGACCGTTTAAGACTACTAAAACATATTCAGCCAAGGGGATGGTTACGATGGCGTAATTTAATAAAATAATAATTTTAAAACCAGCTATGCCCTGAAGAAAAGCAACAAACCTTCCCTCCTTCAACACACCTATAGAAGGAGAATATAAAAATCTAACTGAGAAAACAGCAACACTCTGCTCACATTTCTCAACTTCTGCAGGCCACATTCAGCAGCAGCACATTCCAAGCAGCACCCTCATCCTTGCTCAGCTTGTCTCTACAATCAGACATCAAAACAACATTAAGCTGCAGCAGCTTTTCACTTCAGCACTGTTACAGTGACAACACTGAAATTACATAATGAATAAGTTTATAAGCACTGCTAGGCATTTAGATACAATTTGCACTTGTAATGATGCTAATGAGATACTGAACCACCCACTACTGTAAAATAAGACATTAATATTTTCTCCTGCCAAGACTTGAGCACTTAGAATAATTATTTGCAGACAAAAACAAACTAACCTCTCCAAACTATGTAATAAAGAAGAAGATTTAAGATTTGGACTATGATATACTTGATCAAAGCAGCTCTTACGTGTATTCTTCTAAACCAGTTTTACTATTTTTGACTACATGATTGCTTCGATAAGCACAATTACTCATCTTTCCTAATTTATAAAACTCAGCATAGCCTTCTGAAGACAATTCTCTACTGGAACTCTCTTGACTTTCTGTCACGTACACTGTCTGTTGGGAGGATAAGAGAAGTGGTGCAAATGGAAGAGGTAAGCTGGATACAAAGAATAACATTACCTTCACAAGGACAGTCTGGCACTGGAATGTATTAAGCAGAGACATTGTGCATTCTCCCTTCCTGGAAGTTTCAAGGTTGGACTGCATAAAGTCCTGAGTCTCTTGGTCTGGTCTCAGATCTAAACTCTGCTTTGAGCAGGAAGTTGGAATAAAAATGCTTTACGGTCCCTTTCAATATGAATTATCTCATAATCCCAAATAAGTCCACTAATTTTTGGAAACAAGGTATTTAAGTCCCTCAAATGCAGACTGCCCGCCAGTGATGCGCATAGAAAACCTGAGTATAGCAACCAGGTTGCTTACTATGCTTTCCTCCTTATATTTTTATCTCCATTCCTACTTGATTAAATAATTAATTCATTTCATTAATTTTGCTCAATTTCGTGCTCTCGAAGAGAACTTCATATGATGAAAACACTGCAAGTTACATATCAATCTTACTATCAAACTATTTCTTTTTAGTACTGCCAGAGCAGTAGTTCTGAAATGGATTTAATTACAACTTTCTCTTGAGACAGACAATACCTCACAAATCCAACCTTCAGGTAAACACTAAACAAGCAACTGCCCCACATCACTGTTTTTAAACATACTGATATAGCTGAAAGGGTATGGATTTTGAAGTACAGTTTTCCTGCTTAATTTTGAAAGACCACCCATTTGACCCCTGTACATTTTTATGGAACACCCCATGCTGCTGCACAAAACAATTCATGAGAAAACACAGAATAAACACAAAAATGTACACACGGAGAATCTCAAGCTACACTTCATTTGCTTTTTCAGGACTACTGTCTGATGATGCATAAAAAAAGGATAAAGAGCCCAGTTAAGACTTTTTTAACACAGCAGCAATACTAAATCTGATTTCCTTTGTAGTTTTACTGAATGATCAGTGTGAGGCAAATAGAAAATTGTGCTCAGCAAAGCTAACTAAAGAATTGAACAAATTAAGTATGTATCCAGAAAATGTGGTTAACAAAGTCTTTTACTTTCAGCCAGTTAAGTAGCATGGGTATCAACATGTACAAGTAGCCTAAAGACCATCAGAAGATTTAGATAACGAATTCCAATAATAAAAAACAATCCTGACCTTTTCATCATTGGTAGTAGACTCTGGATGAGGTAAAGGACTATCCTGATGAGTTGTCTCTACAACAGAAGGTTCTTCAATTTTGTTTCTTATAATTGGTGTTGCAAGAGGAGACAGATCTAGAGGCATCTAAATGTAATAGTGTAAAAAAAAAAATCACTAAAAAAATAAAATATGTAAGAAAATACAAGCATCTAAGGAGAAATATTAGCTTTATTATAATAATAACAGTGAGGTGCTGATGTTTGAAGATCTTGATGCAGATGTGTCAGCAGTCAAGCCTACTTTTTCCAGCATCTGTATAAACACCAATTTTCACTAAGACTTTGTGCTTCAATTTCCATTGCCAGATTAAACACTTTTCTGAAGTTCTTCTTTCCCAAGATTCACAGGAGAGTTATAATTGAGGAAGGACAGCACTAAACTTAAAGGCTACACTTACGATACAATCCCTCTATAAATGACATCACGTGCTGCTAAGTGTAAAATCTTAACTTCATTTTCAGAGTAGAAAAAAAGCTATGATGGATGGAGTTGTCATTTCAAACTTGGTGCAGATAATAATTACTGAAAAAGTTTTATATTGCTACACACATAAAGTCCACCAGAACATCTGAAATGCTGCAAAGAAATTCAGTTATAAAAATACTTAAAGCAGCGTATTGACTCGAAAACCCGTACTACCATCTAACCTGTTGTCCAAACACATTTGAAAGAGAGTTCCCCCAGAGCTCATATTCCATTATTATTCTTCTGGGTGCTTTTTTTCTATTTCATTTTTAGTTTTCTTACTGAATAGGTGATTAAAAAGAAGGGAAAATTGCTAAAGGTGGAACCTTTTTGCACATTACAGCTGAATGTGAAACACTACAGAAAAAGCAAAACTATTATAAAAAATCCTTAGGAAGAATTGCTATTAGGGTAATTTTTTTCTACCCCTTGCCATTCTTGTTTATTTATGTTATCAAAGATACACAGCACAACTGTGTTTCTTCTTGTCAGCCTGGAAAACTATTATCAATTTTAGAAGTTGTTCAAATGTTTTAAATGCTCTGCAATAACTGTAACCTCCTCCAAGAAAGTGGTGAATTACAAAGAAAGTCAAGTCAGAATAAAAAACAATTTGTTTTATCATTCACATGATTTCAAGAAAGTTACCGTACACCAATTAAAAAAGATTTGGCACAGTTGTGAGCACAAAGCAAAGGTGAGTTTTCATCAAGAACACGCAGAAATGAGTCCTGTTCACAAGAGCCCACTAAAATCTTTACAGAAACAGAGAGTAACCAGACACTGATTCTGTAAAGTCTACGTACATGTGTATAAAAGAGACTTTACTTAATTTTTAATGTCACTGTCTGTGGAAGTTAAAGCATACAATCAGGCAAAGGTAAAATCATTCAAAGGGGACACAATAAAAATTTTCATTTGCAGAAGTGTTTATACATTTGGGCCCTAAACTAGTTAGGGCTAGCAAGATACAGAAGAAATAGGAGAAAGCATGTTTAAACTTAAGGACAGTTCCTCACGAAAGAACATTAAATGCTGAATAGAAACTGTAAATTCTGCTTAGATTTTAGTGTACTGTAAAAAAAAGCAATGCAGATGTTTAGGTTGTGATCAGTAATTTCTAGGTAAAAATGATTATTTAACTGACAAAGCAAACACAATTGTTATCAAATTACTGACATTTCCAAATTTAGTGGTTGTGCTGAATTGTTAGAGTATTTAATACTATTGTTTTCACTTCTTTCTTCTCAAATGTCTTTCTGCAAAATTCATTAATTTTCAGACTTTTAAAAATTATTTGGAGCCTACTGAAATTTCAATCAAGCTAATGGTGAACTTCAACAGATACACAGGCAAGATACTTAGAGAATTCAGACAAAATCAGTGCGTTCCACTGCCCATGCTTCTCACGTAAACTAACCTGCAGAAAAGTAATCTTAACCTCTGTATTCTCCCCATAGAAGATTATACATGGGCAGCTGGCCAACAACTTCTGGTATAGTTTAAAAGACAACATATAAACTCAGGTTTGCTTTTCTCAATTGAACAGTAAGACTGAAAAGAATATTTATATGAACTTACTTTCTTAATGTCATCTTCAGAAGCCTTTTTAAACTCATTTTCAAAAGGGCTTGCTAATTCATTGAATAAGCCAACTTCTTCACAGTTCTTCAAGAATCTAGTTGGTGTTGGTGTCTGATCTGAAATTAAGTTTACACAAACCACACAATTTTACTTTTAAAATACTATTTGAGAACACACACTTTGTAAATAATTTTCAAAGTAAAAGGAGACAGCACCTAAATATCAAGATATTGATTTGTAATTATAAAAACACACAACTTGTACTAAAAACTAGCCTAGGCTAAGTAAATTACATTCAAAAAAATCTGAATTTATTCAGATAACTATTCATAAGCCTCAGTGAGTTTTATGCTACAAAGGATTTCTTCTAACTTAAAATCGATATGATACCAAGGAAATTTATACATTTAAGAAATCTGCATTTTGCCTACATAAAGATGATACCAATGGGGTTATTTACTTTAACTAGCTTTATAGTTGATGAATGTATTAATACTTCAAGCCATTTAGCAATTAACTTCAAAATTACTTCCCTTTTGTTCAGAAAACTAAATACATGAAAAGAAAGGGTATTTTTGTATGTTTAGGATGCTCTTAGTCAGTTGCCTGTTAACTGTTATTTAAGTATTTATTTTGAAGACTGGTTAAAAGAACAAAACCTTAAAGATTTGTGCTGATTTTCTGATCATGCATACTCTAGTAACACTCTCAAAAGATGCAGCACACAACAAAAAGAATGGCCAAAGAAGTGCTTTGATACCAAGTATTTTGGTGCATCTATTGGGAATGAAGTATAAACCCAAAATCTCATGGTTGTAACTGTACAGCAGCTCTTTTTTCCTATCAGCCTTTCACAGAATTTGCTCATTTCAGACAGAATTATCTTCTCATTCCTTGCCAGCCAGCACCACACAGATATTAATAAAAAGCAGTTGCATTACAAAACATAGCAACATACGGGATTTACATTAATATGCTTGATTTTTGTAAGCCAACACTGTCATTTTCATAGAAAACTAGACTTTTGATTAGAAACAGAGAAAACTGTTTCATTCTGAAAAATACAGATGAGGGAAAGGAATAGATGATGTGGTTAAAAACACTGTTATGCCTTGAAAGCACGCTCCTTTCTGTCCTGCAGGAAAACCAGCCACAAGGCATACTCCACCTGCTGGAGACAAGTAGTTCAAGTTTGCAGACTGCTAACCCCTTACAGCGCTGGAAGGATATCAAAGATTTCTTCTGTCCACGTCCACCAACCACAGGGAGCTTTTCTCAAGAGCCAGTCAACTATAGCACATCACTTTGGTGAGCTAGCAGCCTCTAGTTTCAAAGGCAAGACCTACACAAAGGCTTTAATTTTTTTAAAAAGTGCATTCACAGCTCACAGACATTTCTTTCTTTCTTCCAATGTTGTGAAAATGAGAGTAATCAATTCCAAGTGTGTGAAACACGATAACAGAAGATATGATATTGTACAAAAGACTTCATTGGATTTTCTAATTGTAGAATTGAGCTGCAGTTCTAAGACTTCAGGCACCCTGCTTACTACTGCCTGAGGCAGTCCCAAAAGAGGTTTTCTATAAATTTACTATGTAAATTCCTCTATTTCACTACTATCACTGGGTCATTTGTTACAAAGTAACTTCATCTGAAATACCATTATTATTATGTACATCTTCACTAATGTAACCAAGCAGTTATAACTACAGTTCAGATACTGAAATGTAGTTGCAAAGAGACAGAATGGCATCACAGTTTCGTTCTCACACACCTGATCAGGAACAGGCCTTCTTCCTTATGGTTTAATAGTTGAGAACTGTGTCTAGAATATCAAAATGTAACCGCCATTGTAACAGTAACTTCTTTTTGTCTCCACGTCCTAGTAAGTTAGCTTCTTAAAACAAAGATACTCTGTAAATGTCTGAAAGTCTTCTCAACATCCATTTACACTGTTCTACCACTGAAAAAAACGTTCTGACTATAACTTTGCAATTAGCACGTGCTGTCTTCATTGAAGAGCTTTAAAGTACATTATGATCCCTTGGTGATTACTTCTGAGCCCGAACAAACAAAAAAGTTACTTACCACCATGAATTCAGAGGTGGAAATACAATAACAGTAGTTGGAATTTAAAAACACTTCAAATAATTATTGTTATCTTCCTTGTAGTTACTAACTCACTCTCCTAATGTCATCACAGCACGTAAAAACATAACATATTTTAAACTTCAGGGACAAGCAATCCCAATTAAACTGTAAGCCTTAAATATGGTACAACCTAGTGACAGACCTGTTAGGCACAGCCTTTATTAGTGTTGGTTCTTATTGAACACTTACTACACAGTTTAATCAATTATTAAAGTATTGATATCCGGAAAAAAATTTATCATGTATCAGATCTAAATAAAAGTTAAAAAGCAGATTTTAAGAAAATTTAATAATACAGGAAAGCATTTACAAAATACTTTGCAGACGACAACAATGAAGAAAATATTTCAGTCTCACAATGCACATCTACTCATTAAGTACAGAAAACAGACCAAAATGAATGCACATTCCACCAGAAAAAAATGAACAAACTAGTTATGAAATTCTATACTAACCAGCCACGATGACACTATCATTACGAGCCGGACCAAATTTCAGTGTCATCTCATGTTTATGTTTATGGACAGCCAAATGATCCTCATTGGTAAAACGCTGCGGCAGAAAATGTTAAGAAATGTAATTTTGAATACAAACACAGTAAATACAGTTCTACAGAAAGTCACTTTCATAACACGTAAAACAGTTGTTACTAAGTTAATAGACAACTCTTTGGAATATCTTACTTTGTTGGTCAACAGTACCAGCAAAAATATGACAAAACTCAAATAATGTTCACAGTACCCAAACAGCAACAACATCAGCAAAATGGCAGTGTAAGTACCTGCAGTCATCAAAAGTCCACAATAACATTTCAGAGTACTGCAGACTCCATCCACCATTAGCAAACAGGCATTCTCTATGCTAACAGATCTTGGCAATGTTTAGCAATTATCACTATTTGATATTATTGTTTGGTTTATCACAATTATGAGAATTGATCTGTAATCACAAACACAGACTTACTGTATTTAATAGTGTAATAACTGAATAAAATGTAACTCCTGCCCCTTACAGGTTACCATCTAACATGAAGCAGACGGAATGGGAAATACTGCTCTATCATCAAACCACTGAAAGGCTGTAAATTATTAAAACTTATCAGCATTTAAAAAGCTCCCAACTTTTCAGAAGTATCCCAGCAGTGTTTTGCATACTCTTCCACAATTTAACGTACACTCTATGAAGGAAGCAGCAAGCAGACAAACTATGTACTGTACAATATATATATATATATTTTTTTTAACTTGAAACTTGCTATGCCTCTTTGATTGCGAATAAAGATAGTGATTCAGCTGAGATAATCTAAGAAAAGTCTTTCCAAAATGTCTCTTTCTACATTCAATGAAATATTCTAATTCTTACTTTTCTTTGTGAATATCTGGAGCCCACATAGAATGGCCTGAGTTGAAAAGGACCTCAAAGATCATCTAGTTTCAACCGTCCTGCTGTGGACAGAGTCACCAACCACCAGACCAGGCTGCCCAGAGCCACATCCAGCCTGGCCTTGAATGCCTCCAGGGATGGGGCATCCACAACCTCTCTGGGCAACCTGTTCCAGTGCGTCACCATTCTCCAAGTGAAAAACTTCATCCATAACATTTCTGATTTTTCCCCAATCACTTAAGTCACTCCACATATAACTTGCAAGAGATACCCACCAAGCACCATCTCTCAGAAAACCATATAGAAAGCTTAACTGACCTCCAAGCATTGTCTTTAGAATATTTATGTGAGAAGGAACACGCATACGTGGAGTCGAGAGGAGATTTAAAAATGCGAGATTACTGAAAAACAGTGTAATACAGGCCAGGCTCTTCTGTTGGGACTCTGCTTGCCAAGGGTTCCAAATGCCACTATCCACAGCTCCCGTGTCTTATCTCTAGATACACCCTAAGGCAGGGATACCGTTATTCTATCACACTACAACTCAAACACACCTCTACGTCCTACTACATGACACAGACTTATTTGGAAGGAACAGGATCTTTATTCTACAGCATGATCTGGCATCTGGAGAAGCTTTGCCCATTCTCTGAGACACAAATTTCACTTTCCTCCTTCACTTGAATAAAGGATTGTTGTAGCCCCATGATGCATCTTCTGTGAGATTTAGTTCTGATAGCTTACATCAAAATTGGATTCAGACAGGATGGGGACAAACATGTTGCTTAGAAGAAGGTGATTCTAATTCTGATGTCTCTGAACATACAAGACATGGTAAGAAATCTGAGTCCTTTCCCACTCTAAATACAAAATGCTTCATTAATGTAACATTAATGCTGTCAGTCATCATAAAAAGCTATGTTTTCAGAACAAGAATGAAAATATTTTGACCTCAAAATCAAATCAAGTGCATCACTAGAATGGAAAAAAAATGCAGCCAGTTTAAGGAATTGGTTCTATACAAAGGCAGCAGGAATGTCAACCTCACGCAGCAGATAATGTAAACTCACTCATTTTCAGGTTACTGAATTGAAAGTGGTAGGACAAATTTTAAGTGACCATATATTAAAGCATTCATTAACTATTTTTTTGTTGTTGTTTTCTGCTCATTTAGTGCTACTAAACACAAATCCTGCAAGTCTCACTGTGAGCTCCTCATTAATGTTGAAATATACTGAAAAATGTAGGTTACCTGAACAACTATTGCACACATTTTTTCATGAAAACAAATAAGACTGGGCAAAAAAGGAAATTGTCTTCATTATATGGTTAGTATTTTTCTGAATAAACTGAGAATTTAAATGCTAGAAATTCTTGCTGCCACCAGCTTTTCAGCAGAACTGGAAAGATGGGTACTTCCTACCAATTAAGTTTCTTCTCTTCATTCTCTGGAAACATGTTTCACTGTTTTACTTTTACTCAATCAATGTTAATAACTTCAAGTCAGACCATTACCTGGCCACATCCAGGGGCAGTGCATAAAAAGGGTTTGTCATCACTCATATTCCACAGGTCGTTGTGCTACCTGTATTAAAATGACAGTGGGAAGCATTTTACAAACACTGCAGCAAATTATCAATATCTCAACATCCATGGGAAATTTTAATATTCTACAAGCAAGAACTTCTGCCTTCTAACAGCACTAAGAATCTAAATACCCGGCATATGAGTAGCATCTGGACTACAAACTCTCTAAGTTTGTAGCCAAAAATTGAGACAGATTTTAAATGTGCAACTCAGTTGGAAAGACAAGTGTTTGTACGTAATGTCACCAATTGCAAAATATTTATGAAAACACAGTAAGACCATTTGTTTCTGAAACAAAAATATCTTGTAATAATTACCCAATTCCTTCCACCCCCGTCAAGAAAAGAACAAAGCAGCAGATAAATAATGAGGACTGAGTGCCAACAAATGAAAGTGGTTGGTTAGATAGTTTTTTTCATAATCACCTAAACTTTTTCATAATTATCTATTATATTATATATTATATTATATATTATATTATCTATTTTTTTTTCCTCACTCAAAGCAAAGCTACCACATAGCCCATTATGGACTCTTTTAAAAACATAACTGCAAAACACACATATACTTTAATAACATCTCAGCCATATAACTGAATCATCAGGAAGCTAAAAAATATTTAAGAAAGAATTAATAGACACTATTCTATTTTATGCTGTTTTGCTTCCTCATCAAGCATGCTGAAACACGTACCTGTCAGATTTCACACATAAATCTGTTTCATAGGGCAAACTATCATATCCTCCTTTTCATGGCAATGAACTGTAATTGAAAGAAGATATTAATGACCATGCTTGTTAAGTATACAATAAACCACGATTTTGTAAAGATACATGATATAACGTCCATCCTTCATAACTCAAACAAAAAACACTACAGCTTTGCCAAATGAATCGTTTACCTCAACAGATCCACTTCTTTAATTTTACTTCTCTCAGACATTAAAAGCTGCTTCTACAATTAAATTTTTTGGACAAACTTCATGATTTATATTTTTCTTGTAAAAAAAACCAAAAAACCTAGAATCCTCTATTTTTTAAGTGAGAACTCCCAACACTAAAAGAAAAATCAGTCCACAAATTAACCTTAAAGGTACAAAAATCCTAACAGTTTCAGAGACTTGCTGAGGAGAATTAAAATACTGAAGAACTAACATTTTTTCCAATTAATTTTTTCATAGCTGGAGGCATGCAATACATTTTTTTTCTTCAAATAAGCAAAGATGATCTTCATATTTCAGATGCTCTAAGATAAGGTATTCTAAAGTATGCAGTGAAGCTTTAGGTAAAGAGAATAAAGAGAAACACATTGTTTGCACTCACATCAGAGCAAGGGAAACAATTTCAGACAGATCTGCTGTCAGACACTCCTTTCCACCTTGCTAAGAGCAAGACATTTCTACCCCATACTTGGAAATAAGTGTGGTCATCTACTTGAATCTTTCATGATACCAGTACAAAGAAGAATTATAATTCCATCAAGCATCAACAACGCTGTATTAACTTATTAGAAAATGTGCTCAAGGTAAATCTGATAAGCTGTGGACAGCAGGTGTAACTGTCCTTCATCTCATCATTATGAACTCTCTGCTCCTGAACCATTTGGCTGGAAGTTCTCTCAAGTTCATTCTGGGCTCGGCTACTTTTTATGCTTTCCTGGCTATTGGTCCTTAGCACAAACTTTTCCTTCAACCTCTTCCTTTCTGGTTCTAGCAAACCAAAATTAATCCACTGGCATGGTATGTCTGCTCTGATTGTGTCCTGTGTTAGGGAAGAATACAACTGGGTGGGATAAGAGAAAGGAGAGTACATTTCTCAACTACATTTCTCAACAGGCAAGGTGGTATCGCTCTACTTTGGGAAGAAGGGACACAGATGGGATTGGGTCAACCTGTGTTGCACAGTGCACAAGATCTGTACGTGGATGCTGTAACATCAATGACTCAAAATAACAACAGTTCAGGGACAATGCACATGTAAAAACATTATATTGTCACATCAGAGATAAGTGATGAGCAACTAATCCCATTATTGAAGTTACCTCACTTTAAGTTCAAGTAACAGGAGCAGAAGAAAAAAAAAAAAAGAAAAGAAAGCACCAATGCAGCTAACTAGCCAGGAGATGACAAGCCCTGTTAGCTCCTCTGTGGGTTCCCCCCCAAAAGGAAACACATTCATCTTTAAGTATGGATATTTATGTAAGTATCTAACAATGTTAGTTCCGACCTGTGCTTGGTTTGACAAATAAATATGTCTTTGTGATGAACAATCACAAACAAAACAAATTCATGACCACTCTTCAGGGGGAGAGATGAAAAGGTGCAAGGCTTCGGAGGCTGCTTAACTATCTTAAGAATACCATTTACCACTAGAGACAAAGCAGTTCAAGTAAGCCTAAGCAAATCATCTAAGACATAATACCTGAGAAATTTGTATGTGTAGAGGACACATTATCTGATCCTTTTGCCTAAGATGAACAGTAAAAAGTACTGCATAAAATTTTGGATATTACTTTAAGGAGGAGAGCCCAGTGTCCTTGGCTATGGGCACCAAATAGCAAAGAAGCAAATCTTGGAGAGAGAGAAAGAGAGATTCCAGTGTCACTTCTAAATATATACATTCAACAGAATGAGGATTCTGAGACTGAGATCACAAGCCAAGAAGAGACGAATGGCTGCCAGAACCTTTAGATTCCTTGGCACTGACAACTCAGGGAAACATTTATGTCCTACAGACAAGATGCCAAAGCAAATCAAGGAGAGAGATTGCTCCACCAGTCTTTGCAAAGAATTCATAACCTGTCTCAAGGTTCTGAAGAGGTGAAATATTTATTGCACTGTTACAACTGTGAACATGGTACTATCAACACTGAAGAGTATTAAGAATGTCATGGGCAAGTTCAATATTCACAACTTAGGCTTCATGACTAAGGTTGTTCTCAATGAAGCCTTAGGATTCCACCTTTATATTATCTGGAATTTAAATAGACACTGAGAGGTCATCCCCCTGAACACCATTCCTTTGTTCAGCTTCGTAATACAGATGTTTTTATTATGGGTTCATACAGGCAGGGACAGACTCCTTTAGGTCTCAAAAGGAATTAGCTTTGTTAAATCTTGATCGTGAGGCAGCACATACTTAAATGCAACTGCAATATACACACAATTACATATTATAAACAAAAAATTATTTCTTTAACAAACCAAAGGTGTATTATTTTTCTCCTAAAAGACGAAGATTTTGATCAACCAAGGGACACACACAACACTCTAACTGTTAATACAGCTTACACGAATCTTTGAAAGTGCACAGTATTAGTCACAAAAAATCTACTACACCCACACTGTTAGCATTTTTTTTCCCTTAGGTCATAAACTGTAAAGATTAATTTTTTTCCTGTCTGCCCATTGACTCTTTTAAAGGAATATTACCAAAATATGCATTTGCATATTAAGCAGTCACCAGGTTTCACATTTTAGGAAGCCTGAAATTTTTGACACCCTGCTTATAAAGAAAAAGAAAACAAAGTGGTGTCCTCTTCAATAACTTCAAGGAGAGAAATTGAAAACAAATTCATATTCTGAACTTTCTGTTACTTGTTTGCAAACTACAAGGCATTCTGAGAGATAATGCCTTGTAAAGAGATTCCAACTAACATCTAAAGAAAAAAAAAAAGTCTCTTGAAGTGCTAAATTTTTGGAACTTAAAAGAGAAAAGAAGTTCACTCACCCATTCCAGAAAGACCTTGGACATTATAAATCTAAACAGAAACCAGATCTGACAAGATGGGAAAACAAAGGGCTCACATTCATTAGTCTAGCCACACCAGTAAGGATTGTATTCACCTATTACAGAGACAAATGCAAAGCTCACACCTAGAACAAAATTATTCCATGCTACACTGCAGGCTGAGGGCCAAATGATTGTCAAGCAGCCTTGGGGCAGAACTTGGATCTCCTGGTGGTCAACAAACTGAATACAATTCATCAGCAAATCACTTGCAGCACCAAAAGCTACCAGCACACTGGGCTGAATTAGAAAAAGCAGAGCAAGCAGATCAAGGGAAGTGACTGTTCTCCTTCACTTGGCATTCAGGGAGCTGCAGCTGGAGTACTGTGTCCAGTTTTGAGCCCTCAAAACAAAAAAGATAACCAACTCGAAGAGAAACCGGTAGGGGCCCACCAAAACACTTATGGGGCTGGATTATTATGTTCAAGAACAGTAAAAAGGAGCCAAAGTTGTCCAGCCTAGAAAAGGAAGACTAAGGAAAAATCTACTTTCCTTCTAATGCTACCTACTGTGCCACTATAGAGAGAACAGATTCAGATTCTTGGTAGTGTACAACAAAAGAATGAGACTCAACATCTTTGGAACAGCTTTAGAAAACTCCAGGTGGTTAAGTTTATGGCCCACCACCTGAAACTGTAGATGCTATGCTAAAACAAACAAACATGAAACAAACAGACATCAACAAAAACCAACACAAAAAACATCCTTTGCCGGCCTCCTCTCTTTCTTCTGCATTTTTGCGTGCTCTGGTTTCAAAAGGCTATTGGAGACTGACTGCTCTAAGAGAGAACACCACAAAAAAAAAAAAAAAAGAATTAAAAAAATATGTTCTCCCTGAATACCAAAAGAATAATCCTACATGCCATCTTGACAAAAATGTTCCCCATCCAACACAATGAGAAAGTATGTAAGTTTCAAACCTAATGGCCAGAGATGAATTATAGGCACTTTTGTTTGCTAGCCAGGTAACAAGCAAAAAAACCTTGTTGCATAGAAAAAAAGAAGACAGCTCTTGAAGTGATTCAACTTGAATTTGAACCTCCAGCTTCAACTTTAATTCTTCAGATGAACCAAATACTCCAATTAAAGAATTCTTATTATAGTCCACTGAAGTACAACATTCTTCTACAAGCCTTGCTACCCTGCCTTCTCTCAGAAAGACAGAGAAACATGTAAATTCTCAGCATAATTCTCAGGGAGAAACAGTATCAGAGATGAACATGGGAACAGCATCAAATAATCTCAGCAGTACAGACAACTTTAATCACAATATAATCTCTCATTTTTGCTGTTCATTTGCTCCACATTTCAACACAAAGATAAACCAGAATGGTGTGAAAGCATTTAAATGTCCTAAGTCTCATCACTTTTGGAAAGCAAGCAATGAAGTAAATTATATACTTGTAAATAAATACAATTGGTTAAAATGCATTTAATATAAAGCAAAATAAGTACAGTAGCATTTACAAATAATTTACTGACATCTAAATAAGCACTGACAGCGTGCTTATTTAAAAAGTAAAGGTGTTCCCATAAAACATCAAACCAGGATTAATCTAAACATCACAAAACAGCTTCAACAATCATTTGTATATTTTTAATCAGGTTTCAAGTAAATACCTCAAGTACACTTTCAAGAAGCTATTACCGCTTCTTCTGAAGCTTGCCTGTAAAATATACCTTCCTGTAGACAGCTTGTAAGAAAAGGCAACCACAGACTTGATCAATGTCTCGATGGCTTATTTTAGTGGTAAAGGTTCTTTTGTTTTCTCTCTTAATTCCCCCATACAGCAGAAGCACGGAAATCTCAACTGACACCTCAATTCAATTTTTTTCTATTAAACATTTAAATAGTTGTTTAAAATGTATATATGAACATTAACAATCCCTGCAAAAATACCTCCAAATTTGCTGAGCAAAGTCATTCACACATGTCTATAAAGATTTGTCAGACTTGCTGCTGCTAAAGCCTCTCAACATTGCCAAGCACGCTGGATGCCAAAAGACCCTTATGCCCTAATTTGCCCATCAGCTATGCAAACTTACCCTGCAATTTCTTATTCTAAACCCTGTAGCAATAGACTGCTCTCTTGTAATTTCAAAGCTGACACAAACAGCATGGAAGAAGACACCCTTAAAGTGAATCTAAGATAGGATCTGCTGAGAAGACAACTGTAAACAAACAAAATCTGGTAGGCAAAAAAACCAACGACGCTACTTCATAATTCCTCTGCCGTGCAGAAAGCAAGAAGAAACGCACATTCTGGCAGGCGTCAACCCATTCCTCAATTGGACAGCCCACAGAGGACAACCTGAGCCTACCAGCTACTGTAAGAGCTGATTGATCTACCATTGCTTGCATGTGTTGCAAACCCAAGTCTTGCAGCTTGGTGACCCTTGCATACGGCTCCATCTCAAGAAATAGCTATACATTCTTGTTCAAAAAAAATGAGAAAGTGGGATAAAACACAAACTGGGCTTTTGTCACGAAGCAGAGTTATGGTAGCCTATCAGCATTAAGGATCTTCTAAGTGTGTACCTCACAAAGTGCTTAAGTCAAAGCATCAGAGATGTATTTTCCTACAGATGTTTGCATTTTCTCAAGACTAATCACGCACACTAAACATTTCTTCTTATTCTTTACATTTGATCTGGGATTGCACCCCTTTTTATCGCACAATAAACTCTGACTGTATATAGAGTTATTAACTCTTAGTAGCCTTTAATGTAGATCTCATCGTAGTAAGTAATTGCTTTCACATTAGGCTTTTAAGATCTTACTTTAAAGTTCCTATAAAAGAAAAGTGAAGCATAAAAGAGCAAGGGCAAAAATTATCAAAGTCTTTATCGACTCATGGGTTCTACTTGAGGTGTGTAAGTTCTTCATCTCCTTGTTTGCATTTAAGGTCAAGTGGACTGACTTTATTCGCGCATTAAAGAATAACATTCTCTGAACAGGTATTGAAGAGAGAATTTAATAATTTGCTTGGCCTACACAAAAATTTTACTAGAGATGCTTCTTTAGATAAAAAAAGAAATAGTTGTTTTTCTTTTCCAAACTTAACAACTGCAAAATTAAAAGAGCTGGCTCTCGTGCAGCCAAGTAAGTCAATGCAAATTAAAATACACAACAGGTTCTTCTTATACTTTTGATACCTGACAACAGCATCAAATTCCATACATCTTAATAATCTCTAATGTTTAATACTAAGTTCTAAAATTTTCTACAGGGGCACTCAGACTTGCAAATTTTGCTTTCAGGAGAAACCAAAAGTTTGTGTGTAGAATTTACCACTTAGTAAAAAGTTAAAAGTCAGCATTTGGATTTTAGAATAAAAGCCATCACTTCACTTACCTAGAAGGACTGGAACAACTTCTTTTTTTTTCTTTTCAGTTTCCTGTATGCAAAAAAAGAAAAGCGAAGCAGAAGTGGTGTAATTAATATTCACCATTACAGACCACTTTCAGAAGCGTTCTGACTGACTGCATTTCTGTCACGCCACCACAGAATTTAACATTTCTAACAAACGAAAGCTGAAAAATGAACAGACTGAAGGAGGAAAAAATCAGAAAAAAAATAAAATAAAAAAACAATCCTCCTTAAAAAGGAAATAGAATCACTAGCAAGCAGATTCTGTAACAGAATCAGTAGATTCTGGAAGATAACTACAGGCTGCAGTGCCAAGTTTTTAAAGGACGCGAACCTCAAGAACTGGCCAAGAGGAAAACGGGAGCTCCTTCTTCAATACTGCCACTCTACTGCTTAGTAGAGCAGTTGTTCCACTTCCTTGAAGTCACGGGGTCTCTTTCAGAGAGTTCTGGGGAGGAAGAAGGCAATGCCTGTTGCAGTAATGTTTCTTCTTTTAAAAACAGGCCTAATGTTGACGCTGCCAGTTACCTGTCTATAACTGACGTCTAAGACAAACTGAGGAAGGTATAGAATTCAATTCAAATAACTAAGAGGGAGAACATCTCGATAAGAAGAAAAATGTGTGAGAAGTGAAGATGATTGACTTAACAATCTCAAATGAGAACAAGAAATCCACTGGCCAGCTAGTCACATGCACGGAAACAAACAAATGAAGTTACTTTGGTTTTGAAGAAGGAGCAAGCTTTTTGCATAAGAAAGGACAATTCTGGTAAACCAGGAGCACTGATGGAATAAAAGAGACACGACTAGACCTAACAATTCCTGCTGGCTGAATACAACAGCTCCAATGTCAGCTGCCTGGCTTGGATATTTCTCAGAGGGCTTGGATTAGTGGAAGCTTGTGCTATGTAAATACAGCTCTTACAGACAAGTAGAAAGTCAGGGAACCCTCAGAAAGGAAATATATAGGAATTAATATTCCCCAGATCTTTCTGCAACTTGTTTAGCAAGATATTAGCTTTTACGCCTTCACCAGCTCAATTACCTAAGTGTGAAAGCTTTAATACTGTCCATCACCTAACAGACATTATAAATCTAGTTTTTGCAACTTTATTTTCAGCAAATTAAAAAAAAAAATCTTAACAAAGGTACTCCATTTTTACAGATTGTATCCTTTGGGTACCTAACTGCACACAATAATTAAGGGTTTGGTCTAAAATCCTTAAATATACCAAGGACTACACCACTGAAGCACTCTCATAGCTCATTAAAACAGTGATGTATTTTTTTCCTATAAGCAACAAGGTAAATGACCACTGGCATTCACCCAGAAATGGAAACACGCTACATTGTTCCCATTAACTTACCCAAGACAATCTCCAGTCTGAACTACAGCTAATAGAAAAGTTCTGAGGTCGAGCTCCTGCTGAACAGCAACTGACACAAAAATCAATCAGATACAGTGCGGCACCAACTTGAAACAAAAATATGAGCTATTGCATAGTTATAAAGTATCGACTTGTATTTCCATCACTAGCTACATTCAGGGTCTCAGAGTGCACACTATTGATTTGAAGCAAACGCACTTAAGTTATGCAGGACATGATAACTTGAAGTCTATTCATTATTACAGAGAGAAGTTAATGCTACTGAATCATGTTTACTCCTCTAAAAACAGTCAGTGCATTATTTTAATACAGAAATTCCAAATCATTTTTAAATGTTGCAAAAATAAGAGAAATTTTGAATGTTTGCAAAGTTTCTCGGAGCTTTAAACATGCATTTGTAAGTTTAAAAAAATTGATGGTGGGGGGAAAGAAAGAATAGCTGATGAAAGGAATTTCGGGCAGTAGACGGCCCCAATTAATAAGATTAAAAGAATACCTTATTTCAGTCTGCTCAATGCTGTCACAAAAACACAAGAGAAGTAGCATGAAAACAAAAATTATTCATCAAGTTATGCATGATTAATTCAGGACCTGAAAGCACTTTATGTTTTACACTGCACAGTTAAGAATCTTCTGGAAAAAGATGTACCAATGTTTGTATTTCTAAAATTCAAGTGAGGATGGAAATCTGACCACACACAGAAAAAGATCAAAGACCCAACTAGCTGCTTAGGTGTCAGCATGCACTATCAACTGCAAAACAAACTCATCACTGAGTTTTTTGGAAAGCAACTTCACCCCATGCGCACACAAAGTTTTTTTTAATTTATTTCTTTAGATGCATGATAAAAAGCAGTTTATGACCAAGCTGCTGGGTTTTTTTTTTTGTTTTGTTTTTGTTTTTTTTTTTCAATAAGGCTTCAATTGGCAAGTAAGTAAAAGAGAATCCAAGTGAACACCGCTATTTTGTGCCTCTGAAGTGATGCCTGTAACCAGGCTTTCATTAACAGAGAATAACTGATGGTTCATTAGGAGCCTGAAGACACGTCTACCACACTGGAAATGAAGGACCACAAAGTTTTCCTCATCCTACGATCCAAAGTTGAACGGAGCATCTAATGCACTCACAGCGGTTACTCAACCCTAACTTCAGGCACACTTGCTTTTTTCCTTTTTATCTTTTTGTCTTTTCTTGTGTTTTGATCAAGTCTATGTGACTTTACACTCAGCAAGAGCTTGAGAGAAGAGATTCACAGCTCTGAGTACAGCACGACAAGGTGACAACAAAGACATTGTAAAAGGCACAAGAGAGGTGGGAGAAAATTCACTTCGCATTAGCTGTTTGCAAAGCAGCGGATGATTCACAATTTCCTGCTCTAGTAGAGTATTTTATCCCACTATGAAGCAAGTGACAGCACCTTTATTTGAAGAGAAGGAAACACGCCGATGGAACCCCCACCTAACACCGGGGTGCGGGAAGACTGCAGCACAAACAAAGCTGCACGATGCCACCCGTACCCCAAACCCACAATCACACGGCACGGGGGCACGAACATCTGTGCCCAAAACACCGTGCAGCCATCAGTGCGTGAAGGCCCGCGCCGTGCAGCTTGTTTGTAATCCGCTGACACCTCCGGTGCCCTTTCATTAGGATAACCCCGGAGGCACAGGCCGCGGCACCGCCCGCACAAGAGCCGCTCGCCCCCCCCCTCCCCACCGCTGAGCCCGAGGCCCCCCCCGGAGCCGCGAACGGACGCGCAGAGGCCTCCCCCTCGGGGCCGGGGCTCAGGCCGAGCCCGGGGCCGCCGCCGGCGAGGGGAAAACCGGCGCAGCCTCCGCCCCGCCGCCCCCGCCCGCTCGGGCCCTACCTGCGGCGGCGCCGGCGCCCTCCCGCTCGGCTCTAGGGGCGGCGGGAGCCTCAGGCCGCGTTGGGGGAGGGGGCTGCGGCGGCGCGGAGCCGCGGCGCCATGTTACCGCCTCCCGGGAACCCCCGCCTACCGCTCGGCGGGGTCGCTCCCTCCCTTCCGCCCTCGGGGCGCTCCCCGCGGCCCAGACCCGGGCGCGGCCGGCGCCTCTCCCGGCCGCGCCGCGCTCCTGTTTACAAACTCACCCGGGAACGCGGGCCGCGCCGCACATGAAAGGCCGGGTCCCCCGCAGGCTTCCGTCACTTCTCGCGAGAGCGCCGCCGACATCTCCGCGGGTCCGGTGGAACGCAGGTCACGTGGTGCAGAGGGGCGGGGCGAAGGGCGGGGACTCCGCGGGTTGGGTGCCGCCGACGGGGCGGGCGCGACTGCCTGTGTGGCCGGAAGCGGCCGGTGTCCGGGTGTGGCCGCGGCTAAGCGGGTGCCGCTCGGTGCGCCCGCGGATGGGTGACCGCACCGAGCACGGCGGCGGCTCCGAGGCAGAGGTAGGCGCGACGCTTCCGTCCGGCGTTCAGAGCAGTTACAGCCCTACTCCTTCTTGCTAAGGATGTTAGCGTTCCAGTGTCCGCATCCAGGCAGCGCACGTGCCAGGACAGCCAAACCGAACAAGTGCCCGGCCCACCCGGCAACACGGCTCAGAGGACTTCCACAGAAACTCACCCTCGAAGTCTGTCCTGCAGGGAGCTGCTGCAGGGGCTGTGCTCAGTGACATTGCTCCAAGCACATCACAGCCAAGCCTTGGGATAACAAGACCTTGTAGGAGCTCTATTCAACATATGGCATCTAACACTACGAATAACAAAAAAGCTTCTTTAAAAGGAAGTATTCGTACCAGTAGCATAATCGAATTCTACAACATTTAATTACATTGTTTCCCTGAATTTGGGCAAGAAAATACAGGATACTTCATTTTTTGTCATTGCTTTGTTGGCCCTGTACTGCACTGGAAATTTTTTTGAGATACAGTAGGATAGAAAAATCCCCACAACACCACTTAATTTAAGGCAGAATTACTCCTAAGTAAGCATTGTAAATGGCTCAAATGTGAGATGACAGAAAGGAATAGATCTTGCTCCTCTATGCAGCTAAAAGTTTCCCTCACAAAGCACCTAAGAGGACAGTACTGCCAATGAGGAAGATAACTTCCTGCATGAAGGCTTGTTTCCGTGTTTTGTAAAACCATTATTTGTCTAACGATGACATCCAATTAATCCAAATTTGGCATTACTTTACTTTTATAATTAGCAATTTTGGACCGTGTTCAGCAGCATAAGAGCTATTAAAAAAAATAATAATCAGTCAAACCTGGAGAGATGCTACTACTAGGACAGGTCGCACACATGAAGTGCATGCTGCCTTTCAGACAAAGCTTATCACAGGGATCACACTGACAGGGTGAGCCACAATGGAAAAGATAGGATGTTCATTCAGTAATTGCCATGATTTGGGCAGCTTCCTTACTGTAGTTCCAGAATAGCTAGCCAGAACTTCTCCATATACTAACTACAGAGCTAAACCTCAAGAAAATCTCATCATACACAAAGATGAGCTTTAGGCTAGAATTCTAGTTGTTTACTGCCTTTCATCCAAGGCAAATACACTGCACGTCACCTCTGTAACAGCTTATGAGAATAAACTATAATAAGTGCATTAAAAAAGGACCAAAACTGTGTGAGCACAACCACAGATGATAGCTACAACATGCTTTACCTCCTACTATCTCCTCCAAACCAAATCATTTCCAGACCTAGTCATATAGGGTAGTACTAGTAACACTATGCTAGATCTGAGTGTTTGAAGGTACTACATGCTTTATTCTCAAACCTGAGTAAAATCAGCAGTTGCTTTCCGTTCTTACAAAGCAGCTTTTAATCTTTCCACAAGGATAACTATTTCCTCTGAAGAACATACAGAGAAAGAAGCCTCTTACACTGCGTTCAAGTTAGGCTACACGGATACATATTTGGTATTTAAGTTCAAATTAAAACAAAGAATTTACCTGCGTACTGCACCCATCAGAGCCACAAGTGAAGGACAGGCTAGTTACAGCTCGTAGTAAGTAAGATAGGAAAGTAAAGCTCATAAGCTTGTTCACCTTATTCCAAAGGTCAGTTTATAGTTGTTGAATGATCAGATTTATTAATTAATACTCAAAGCCACCCAACCAATTAGTATACAGTAGCACACATTACGTTGCTGTAAATGCAGACAACACCTTAAATGCACTAAGGTTGTTAGAAGATAGAAACCACGAGAAGCAAAGCTTGCAGTGCAGACATTTTGTTACTAGTATTCTAGTATTAAAAAATTAGGTAGAAAACATTTCTTTACTATATCAGGAAGCTGGACATTCCCCCTTTTAGTTAGGTAATGCCAAGAATGCTGTAATTAAGTAAGAGCATAATGCCCATGTGCCACAACTAAAGGCTTTGGAACAATGTCAACCAATAGTTTAGTTCAACCTGGATACTGATCAGAACCAAGCAGAAAGCTTTTACTAGAGTGATCAAAATTCATAGTGGAACAGACAACAGATACAAACAGAACTTCCTTATTGCTGTTTGTGGATTGTTTAGCTCATTCTACCATGGGGTGCCAAAACTCCATGCGCCAGCTAATTAGGGGATAGGAGGTGGAGAACACCACAAAATTGTGCACAGAAACAGCTCTGGATAAATTTGATATAGGTTAAGGAACAAGGCCAGAAGTATAACTCCTCACACTTTGTCAATGCATCCTTTGATTTTCCTAGGATAAGTCATATTGACTTCACCAAACAAGTGACGTTCCAACAAATATTATTCTTGACTTGAAGTCACTGTTGTGACATGGTATGTCATAATCACAACATAAAGTCATGCCCTAATAAGAAAGATAATAAATGCAAGCAACAGGTTGACAGTTAAAGTTGTTATCTTTAATGAAATGACTTTGGAAATAGCATTAATTTCCACGACACCAGCATTTTGGGAGTCCCATAAAATATGCAGGATTACATTCCAACGCCAATATTACAGGCAGATCTCCTTTCACATGGCAAATAGGATCAAGAAAGCAACCATCAGACAGAAGAGACCCATAGCTTCAGACAGGGCGAATCCCAGGATAGCATATGAGAACAGCTGCTGCTTCAGAGAAGGATTTCTAGAAGAAAATAAAGGTGTAAGATCTTTTCATCTTCAAGAAGTTTTTCATACTCAGCTTAATGTTTCTCATAGATTTAGAATCTCGTACTCCCCTTGCACAGATTCTATAACAGAAAATTCAGTAAATCCAAGCATAAGCTTTCTATAAGCAAGGATTTAATGGAAGAGAAGTGACTTAGTTATTAAGGTTAGATTCAAATTATGCAGATTACATATGTCTTTTCCAAGTAAGTATAGACTACATTCATTCTCTGCATCTACTTTCTTCCCATATGGGAACTATTAGCACTATAAGTTTACTTCATATCTTTCACATTACAACTGTACTCTAAGGAAGCTGAAAACATTATGTAGCTCACAGAAAAATCCAGGAACTGAAACCATCTAGACAAAGGAAATTAGTATGCAATGGTTTGTTATTAAAAAAAAAAAAAAAAAGCAATACATTATTCCAGGGCAAGGGGAGGACTTTTCAGCATAGCAATATGCAGTAATACTCCAAAAACTTACTGACTTTCATGCCTATGACAAAAGAGGAGACGTTTATTTTGTATGAAAAGCCTTTCATGTTTCTTAAATCAAAGCTGAACTTCCTTGCCTTCAGTAGGGTTTTTTAAAAAACCTTTATTAAGACAAAAGACTTAGGTCTTAACTGCTAGAAAGAATAATGAAATAAATATTTCCTTAATGTCTGTTTTATTAAGGTCCTCTTTAGGACGTCTCCCTTCTTCTAGGGGAGAATCTAGTCTAGATTTTGAATTCAGTTCTGGAAGTGAATGCTGCAACAGTGAACTTCAGTGACAAAAGCACTGACCAAGACTAACAATCTCTTTTCTTTCATGTCTCTTGTCCATGCAGACAGTTCTGGATTAATGTGAAACAATGAAGTTCTGAATTGATCCAGAGAGCCATCCTGTTGAATATACTGCAGCTTCACACTATTCCATTTAGCCATGTTTAACACTAGCAATATTAACAGAACCTAATACACCTCCATCATTCTTACTACAACTTAGCTTACTGGGAATGCTGCATCAAGATACAACTGCAAGTAATTCAACACTTGTTTGAGGGAGATTGATTACCTGGCGTAGCCAATGATTAGACTACCGAAGACTGTTCCAATACCAGCACCAGATCCAGCCACACCTACTGTGGCAGCACCAGCACCAATGAATTTGGCAGCAGTGTCAATGTCCCTGCTGACAGCACTAGTCTGGAATTCCCTAAGTGCTAGTTGAGAGACACTGCTTTGGGCCCCATTAAGCGTCGATTTGCCCTAAGAAAACAAGACATGAAAAAAACATTATATTCAGAGACAGACTATTTCTGGTGATGCAGCACTACTTCATAGTTACAAAAGTTGCATTAGAACCAGAGTCTAGTTACTCTTGCAAGTGATGAGACTATAAGAGATAAGGAGAATGTTACCTGTTCACCTGAAAGCAACCAACATAAAATGCAAAGGACTTTTCTTAAGTGAAACAGCAGGACAGCAACAAGTATTATTAAAGGTTTGATTTAAAGCAAGCTTCAGAGCATATCTGTGTTAGTACAAGTGAACTCTAGGTTGAGAACATATAGGCTCACCAGGTACTTTAAGAAGATACAGAATTTTGTTTATAAGGTACCTCTCCAGTCCTTGCCTCTGGCCTAGAAAACACAGATGCTGAAATTGGTCTGTACAAGATTCTTGATCCAACACGGATCTGCAAGAGGAGGAAAAAAATTAAAGAGAAGTACTTAGCTACAACTGTCCTCATAAGATCTTCTTTAAGTTATTAAGGCTATTATTTACTAAACCACTTGCCTTATTAGAATGGTAACAATTTTTGCATAGCCAGATATACAGAACACCATACAGAAACAAACTCCACACGCAATTCAATAGCACAGTTTTCCAAAGCCATTACAGCAAACAGCAAGACCATTCAGCGAGCCTGTGCATGCGGTACACTGACAGGAAAGGGAACAAATCAGCAGCCACGTAAGAGCCAAACAGGCTGGCAGGCAGCGACGTACATTTTACAACGTAAAAATAAAAGCCACCATAATTAATTCCCGAGCCGCTAAATGCACAGACGCGGCCCGGACTGGGAAACGCCGCGAGGCATAAATGAATGAAGGCTGTCTCACAAGAGGCCTGCGCGTGCCCTTGGGCTGCCAGCACTCTAAGGTCACAGCGCACAAAGCGCTTCCTGCAGGGAGAGCCTTGCGCGCAACACGCGAGCGGCGACGTTCTGCAGCGCGAAAGGACATCGGGAAGGATAAGAGCCCCTTGCCTCCCAAGGACAAGAAGCCCAGCCCCGTGAGGGCCGAACCACGGCCCGCAGTTTGACCTACAGCAGCGCTCCGGGCCCGGCTGCACCGCGGCCCCCCCTCGCGCTCCTCACCTCGGCCAAGGGCCCCACCAAGGATGCGGGAAGGAGACCGCGGCCCCGCGCCCGGGAAGCCCCCGCCTCGCCTCGCCCCACGGGGCCCGCCCGGCTCGGGCGCCCGGCGGCAGACCCGCCACCCCGCGGCGGTGCCAGCGGCGGGGAGGAGCGAGCGAGCCCGCCTGCGGGGCCGGGAGCGACCCACTCACCAGGGCGGGAGAAGCGGCGAGCTTGGCGCAGGCGAACATCTCGGCGGGCGGGCGGCGTCCCCGGGGCCACGATCCGGAGTCTCTGCGGAGAGAGTGAAAGGGTGAGCGGGCCGCGGCGGCGGCGATGGGGGCGGATGCCCCGGCCGGCGCTCACCCTCTGCGGCTGCCGCTCCTCGGGGCCGACGGGCTGAGCGCGGCTGTGCGCAGGCGCGGCGGGACCGGCGGCGGGAACCCGGATGCGGCGCGGCGGAAGAGGAGGAAACGGCGCCAAGGTCACTTTATGCCGACGCCATTGGCGGCGGCGGGGGGCGCGAGCCTCGACACGCCCCATCAGTGGCCACGCCCCCACCGTGGCCCCGCCCATCCTTAGCCACGCCCGCGCTCGGACGCCCCCTCCTTAGACCACGCCCGCCCGCCCGCTCTGAGGTCTCCCCGCAGCCTCGGCAATGGAACAGCACGCTTCGTATTTGCTTATTGCATCCTTGCTGGGGTGTTCTGCCATCCTCCAGCTGACACCGTGCCTTCTCACATTGCGCGTTTTTCTGTCAGCTCCCACAGCCAAGCCGCAGTCTCATCGGTGCTATACGTTTTCTGTTATGATTCCCACTCTGGAATGCTGTGCAAAAACACATTCACAAGCTGCTCGGTCTGAGCAGCATCGACACCACCATTAAGCACCTGTTAATTGTTGCACTTAAGGTATAACAGCTGATACTACATTTTACATCCAGCTCAGCTGTTGCTTTAGGGAGGGGTCAGGAGAGCAGTTACTGATCTCCAGGGACCCTACTCAGCTTAATTCAAGCAGGTCTCCTTTAAAAAAGACTTCTGTTAACCTCACGGTTTTTTATCTGCATAAAATGCTGCTCGGTCCACTGGTGTGCTGGAGAATGGCGCAATTCCTGTTTGTTCAGCATGTGTTTAAACACTTAAGTTCTACAGGGAGTTGGATCTTGTGTATACACTGTACCTGTAAGCAGGCATTTCTGGCTGGAGTTTGTGGGCTGGTTTCCATCCAGATACAGACAAACACTGGCAGCTGTAGAGTGCGTCAGAAGAATGCATTTAGAAATTCAGCAATTCACATGCTGTACAATGTCAAATAAATGGCTGTGTCCAGAGTGCTTTGCTCTGTCAGTATCCTACATTCATTATTAATAACTTACAAGAGATGATTGTCTGTTCTGTATCTGCTGAAGGGGAAATCTTATCTAGTCAGGAGAAATCCCACTGTCCAAAGTCTAAGTAGATAGCTGTCTTAGATCAAAACCTATTCCTTCAGGTTAATTTTTATCTGCCAGCAGGTGATTAGTACCTCCAAGCATGTCACACACTCACACTAGTCTTAAAAACAAACAAACAAACAAACAAAAAAATAACCCAGCTCTTTTGAAGAAGAGATGTGTTTGGAAAACCACTGTATTTTGATAGCCCTTACCAGCTGGTAGGACACCGAAGAGTAAAATTGGATCAAAAGCCTCCTGAGAAAGTCCTAATGTGTGTGAAAATGTAGAAATGGTGTTACTGCCTCCAGGTTAGCTGTCCAGAGCTTCTGTATTTATGCAGGGCATTGATTGCTACTGATGCACAAAGTCAGGTTTTGTCACTGTCTGGCCCACATTTCAGCACAGACTATCTCACACCTCTCCCATTCCCATTCCTATGTGTGGTTGACTCTTACCAATCACAATTAATGGATAACTGGAGCGATAGCTTGTGGGAGGAAGCTATATAGAGCAGAATTAATATGCTGCGGGATATTTAAAATGACTTAGATCCAGAAAGAAGGAATTAAGCCATTATTATAAGGCTCTGCTTTAAGTAAGATTTCTCTTGGTAGTATGCTGTTCAGATCCGCTTGCTTTATTGATTATCACTAGTTGGCAAATCTTGCCATTAGCAGTTCTGGAAGTTTTAATTGCTGACTTGGCTGGATTGGAAGTAATGTTTCACAGGAAAGCAGACAATAGAGTTTTGGGTTTTTTCTTTCTTCTCATCATAGTAAAGTTCTCTTTAACACAGAAAAGGGAGAATCTGCTTCCTGAGTGATCTTTGTGCCTCGGAGTACTTACCCAAGCTGCTTTTTGCTTAGATTCATTTTCTTTTAGTCTCAACAGCTCTGTTCAGTGAAGAGTTGAAGGCAATTAATAACATAAAACTAATTCAGGCTATAGAGCATTCTGCTCAACTATTCATCCATTATTTTAACACTGGAGTCCTAGAAACTGATGGCATGAACTAAAAAACAAAACAGCACACCATGTCTGTACTTAGCAAGACTCTGGATGTATACAAATCCTATTAAGAGCTCTAGTACAATTTGAATAAAAAAATCACAATAATCCCAGCTATGCCATTTTTGGGTTTCTAAGATCTGCTTTAAATTGCAGAATGATTATATGTATATATACAATAGCCATTACACATCTAAATAAAGAGTTGTCAGGAAAAAAAAATACTACAACAGAAACTGAGCAAAGGAAGGTGTTCTCACCTTCATCCTAGCTACTGGATTCAGTTGGAAAGTGAGACCAAGGCTCCAGAGCAGCCAGAAAGAGGTGTAGAATCACTTTCACCCTGGATAACAAAGCGATAACAAAACTCTGTTGTCCAGCATTCATGTCCTGCTGGTTGGTTTCAGTATGCTCTATGCCAGTAAAAATATTCAGTAATGCAGCCACAATTTTATAAAGCCCAGCATGGCATATGACCTCAAAAATTCGTTTTCTATGTCAAGAAAAATTATGATTTTTCTAAAATAATAAACATAATCTGATTACATATTTGTATTTGCATTATAAAATTCTTAACGGGTTGACAAACAGTTTTACTTTGTTTCCCACCCATTAGTCCACATGTGTCATGGTCGCCACCTTCAGGTCACATTTTCACGTGTTTAAACATTGCTATTAGGCATCTACCCAATATTTTTTTGGAATTTGTTTTGTTATTGCATTTCATCAAAAATAATCTACTGATGTTTAATCACTTTTTTTTTTTTTTTAATAAGTACAAAGAGAATTTAAAACCTGCAGAATTAAAGTATCTCTTAGAACAAGAACTCCCATAAGTCAATTGCTTTCCTCAGATGGTTTATGTGTTTCCCATGGCTGGTTCAGTCTGCCTCTGTGCTGTGCTGCAAAAAAAAGCCCAGCAGATACCTGAAATGGTCACTGAAATGGTGATTGGATAGAACACACAGATGCATTGCTAGTTTACGGCATGTCACTAAGATTATATTAGAATAAGTCCAGCAATGCACTGAACATCTTTTCTAACAGAAAACACAGTTCAGCTGTAAGTTGGCAACATTAATTACATGGTTTAGAATGCAAAGCTGGCAACAAAATTACACCACAGTTCCAGAGAACAGCACAGGTAGCCAAGATTTTAGCTGTAGTAGAAGCACTGAGTCCAAAAGTTTCCAGCTGCTGAAGTTGAAGACACCATAAGCAAAGGGAAGTTTCACCAGGGAGTATGGCAACACCAGATTCATAGTTTTTAAACAATACTATCTAAGCTGTTTGTGAGATTTTTTATTTGGTGTTTCTCAGAATCATTTGGCTCTGGGCATATGTTTGTGGGATCTGTATTTTAATTGTTGATAAGGTAGAAAGAGAAACACATAATGTAGCTGCCCAGTTCTCAGAAACATAAGCATTACCAATTTCCATTTAGGGATTAAATCAGCTTTTGAGTAACTTATAATGTATATAATAAGTGTCTCTGGGCTGTTTCTCCCTCTCTGCAGTGTGTAGATCCAGTTTATAGTCCCTTGTGGGAGGGAAGATGGGATCACAGCCATTAATGTATGCAAGATTCACCTGCTTAATTGTGAATGACATATCTCACAAGGACGAGTCTCAATTCTCTCACACTCGCAGACTGCTTTAGGATGAGTGCCCAAAAAGAAGTGATAAAGACAGAACATCCGCTAACATCCCAAAGCCCTCCTTCAGATGGCCCAGCAGAAAGCCTGCTGGATGGCACTGAGCCTGAGCCCGGCCCTGCCATGCTGCTGCCAGTCTGAGCCTGTGGAAATAGTTGTTCACTTCAGCTGGCAACTGCCGTGCTTTGCATGGCTCAGGCGGGCTATTTTTAAATTGCTGTAATTAATTTTGCTCACAGCTACAAAATAGATCATATATTGTTATGTCCTGTACCTAAAGCACAGGAATTCAGACAGCCCACCCTGCCTGCATCCTGTCCCAAGTGCTTAGACTCAAGGCACACGCCAGTCCCTGGCATGCCTGCATTCAGCCCCATCTGCCGTGCTGGCCCTGTGCCCACTCAGAATTAGCTATGCCAATTTCAGCAGGGCAGAGGTGCTAACCAAACATGGTTTTAGAGGGACAGCTTTCAGAGCACAGTGAGAGCCATCTCTTTTGCCAGCAGATCCTGCTGTTTGTAAATAATTCCAGCTTAAGGCCACATGCTTCATTACATAGGATCACATCTCTAGATGCTTGGAGGCATTATTAAAAAAAAATAAATAAAAAAAAAAATAAATCAACAAATGCCTTCTGTATTTCTCTTTCAGTTTGGTGTGGTGCTTGGTATTCTTCATGTGGAGAGTGACTGCTCTGCTCCTTGTTAACAGGAGAGAGCCATCAGCTCTATGTACTGCAAGCCATCTTAGCAGGACTCGGCAGCAAGGCAGAGGCAGCAAACTGCAGGAGCTTAGCAGAGCCGCACTGCTCTTTCCAGCAGCTCTCAATTGCTTTGTGCCTGAGGTCAGGATGACAGAGCATTGCCTTTTTGCACTTTCCTGATTCTGGACAAATTTGCAGAAGGCATATCTAAGTCCCACCCAATTCCAAAGCAGCATGCATACAAGACAAAATTAATGCTGTTCAGTAAACTGTTTATTATAATGAGGAGTCTGTGTGTGATCTATAAATACTATAATAATATAACATTGACACCGTTGTAGTATATTATAGCTGCACCTGACTCCATTCCACCCCCCCCAAAACAGGTTACTTGTGTTTGCAGAATTACTCTATGAACCCAGAAATGCCTTAGGAAAGTGCAAAATCCGTTCCCAAGCTTCACCTCCACAGATCACTGTGCTCAAATTTAAGATGCAACCTTATAGCTAAGAATATTTTGCCCAGAGTTCTCAAAAAATAATTTCCAGAATAAAAAAAGATTTGGTGCAGGTAATCTACAGGCAGACTTCTTTAGTTCTAAGTACTGAGTTCTAAACATTTTGCTGTCTAGACAGGATCTGTGGCAATGAAACCCAAAAGCCCACCTCCCCTAATGCTATCAAAGAACCTAAGGCTATT